GGTTCTGAGATTAGTCTACCCACCAGCTGACTGGCTTTCTTCAGTCATTCTAACCTGCATGGTTCACTATGCTTTTCAAAATCAATTGACAGTCCAAATCCTACCAAGCTCTTCTGTACATTGGCCTTAAAGCTTTGAAAACCAGATTGTCTATTTGCAACAGTCAATATGTAGCCGCAAATCCTTTCTCTCTAACCAGAGTTGGTGGGTCATATAACTGTTTGAAGAGGAACAGTTGCATTGACTTTCCTAAATCAAGTCCATGCTTGACAGCCCTCTTCCCAATCCTAAGGCTTTAACCATTCTCTTTTATTTCAGTTCAAGGACAGAAACTATGCTGCCTCGTCCTATAATGTTTGAACAGTTTTAAAATAATTCAACCTGAGAAATATATTTTAAATTAGAGTGCCATCGGATCCATTCTCCCCTACACTCTTAGAAAAAAGGGTTCCAAAAGGGTTCTTCTGCTGTCCCCATAGGTGAACCCTTTTTGGTTCAAGGTAGAAACCTTTTTGGTTCCAGGTAGAAGCCTCTGTGAAAAGGGTTCAACATAAATCTAAAAAGGGTTCTACCTGGAACCAAAGGGTTCTACCTGGAACCAAAGGGTTCTAAAAGGTTAAACCCGGGACCGAAGAACCCTCTTCTTATAAGTTCCTTTTTGATAGAGTGGAAACGGGGTTTAAGCTTTTTTATAGGAATGGTCTTAAACTCCGAATATCTCTATGGCTGCGTCTATGAAGCAGCCGGGGTATATGTCTTAGTATCTTCAACGCCATCTCGGTCCCCCTATGTTATTTCCCCTGATCCCCGATGAGAAAAAATTAAAAAATGGCCGGGGAAATAGTGCAAAGAAACTCGGTGGGTTTAGATTACAGCTAACCCAGTTTCAACAGCAAGAAAGTCTTTACCCTTTTTAATCTACAAGCGTCCAAGTCCAAATGAAAATCTTTAACACATGTTAAGACAAGGAATAGGTCACTCAGAGTTAAATTAACCAGAGTGTAGAAGCAGTGAAAGCAAGAGTAGCTTAATGGAAGGATTATTATATAATTTCTCTTTTTCTTCATCGATTCACGTATCCGGGAAGGTGAGTTTTAAGAACTCGGAAATTTTGTGACCAAAATTAATCAGAGCTTTAGTGCCCAAAAAAGGGGGGGGGGAATTTTTGTTTTTGAAGGGGCGGCCCCTTGAAAGAAAGCAAAATTTTAAAAATTTAAAATGAAAAGGTGGAAATAATTGTTTTAAATTGTTTCTTAATTGAATAAAGGCCTTTTTGAGTTTAAATTTTTTCCCAAATTTTTTCTTTATCCCCCCCCCCTTTTTTCCCGTTGGGGGTTTTTAAAAAAACAAAAGGAAAGAAACCCAAAATTTTAATAAACCCCTGGTTTTGTTTTCTTTAAACAAAAGGGGAAAAACAAAAGTTTTAAAGGGACCGGGAGTTAAGCTCCCGCAAAGCAAAAAATACAAGTTTTAAAGAAAGGGGATGTAACCCCGGGGAAAAAAAACCTTTTAAAACCAGTTGTTGTTTTGGGGTTTTCCAAAAAGGGGGGAAATCCAAAGTTTTTAAAAAACCAGGTGTGGGTATAAACATCCGAAAAAAAAGAGAATCCCCCAAAAAAGGGGATGTGGAAAAACAAAAAGGGGAAGCAGGGCCCCGTGCCGGGGGGGTAGATGATGTTTTTAGTAAATCTTCCCAACGCCAACTCCGGAATAAAAGACCTCCCATGTTGAATTTTCAAACAGCGAAATACGATCCCCGATGTTGAACCAAATATGTTTGAAACAAAATTTGGCTTGGGGAAAAATAGGGGCCAAAAGAAAACCCTGGGGGTATTTTTTTTTAAACAGACAAAACCGCCGGGCTTTTAAAACAAAAAGCAAAGCAACACCCTCTTTAAACCCATTCTAACCACATCGTCAACAAATGTCTGTCAAGGTCACAACATTCAAAAGCTCCTCATTCACCCCAGTCTGTATACATATCAATTGAAATAGATGCATTTCTCAGCAGCTTTCAAACTATATCCCCCAAAGAGGTTGAAAGTTATAGCTTTTTCCCCGCAACAGCAGAAAAGAAACACACATTTTTTAAATTAGGGGGACCAGTTTGTGGTATTTTATAGCTACCTGTCTCTCTGTCCCCCCCACTTCCCTCACTCTCCCCTTCTTTTGCCCTCTAAATCTTCCCCGCTCTACCTCTCTCTGTCTCTCATTTTCCCCTGCTCAAAACCTCCCCTTGTCCCCCACTATCCCCCCGCTCAAACCCTCTCTCTGTCTCCACTCCCCCTCGCTCAAAACCCCTCTGCCCTTTTCATTTTCCCTCGCTTTTCCCCTCCTCTGCCCCTTCACTTTTCCCTCGCCCCTAATCTCTCTGTCTCTCACTCCCCTCGCCTCCTCTCTGGTTTTCTCCTTTTCCCTCTCTCTCCCTCTCTCGTTTTCCCCCACTCCCCCTCGCTCACCTTCTCTGTCTCTCCCCCCCTCGCTCAAACCTCTCTTTTGTCTTTTCCACTCTCCCCTCGTTTCTCCCTCTTTTTCTTCTTTTCCCCCTCCCTCACTCTACCTCTCTCTGTCTCTCACTCTCCCTCGCTCTACCTCTCTCTGTCTCTCACTCTCCCCCCCCTTCAAAACCTCCCTCCTCTGTCTTCATTTCCCCCTCACCAAAACCTCCTCTGTCTCCCCCACTCCCCCCTCGTTTCCCCTCTCTCGTCTAAAACCCCCTCCCTCGTTTAACCCTCTTGTCTCCACTTCCCTCTTCTCCCAATCCTCTTTCTTCACTCAAACCTTTTCCTGTCTCTCACTCTCCCTCTCTTACCCCCCTCGGGTCTCTCACTTCCCCGCTCTACCTCCTCTGTTCCCCCTCTCCCTCGCTTTAACCTCTCTCTGCCCTCTCACTCTCCCTCTCTTGTTCTCATTTCCCCTCCCTGTTAACCTCTATTTTTCTCCACCCCCCTCGTTCTCCCTCTCTCTGTCTCTCACTCCCCCCTCCCCTTACCTTTTTTTCCTCACTCTCCCTCGCTCAAAACCTCTCTCTGTCTCTAAATTACCCCCTCGCTCAAACCTCTCTCTGCTCTCACTCCCCCCTCTCTTCCCTTTCCCCCTTTTTGTTTCCTCTTCCTTCACCCCCCGCTCTAAACCCTCCTGTTTCTCACTCTCCCTCCCCCCCTTAAAACCTCTCTTGTTCTCCTCCCGCTCCCCCCCCCGCTCAAAAACCTCTCTTGTCTCTTCTCCCCCCTTCCCCCTCTCTCGTTTTCTCATCAATTTTGTCTTAACCCCCCTTTTAAACCCTCTTGTCTTCACTCTCCCCCCGCCCCTACTCCTTTTTTTCATTTCCCCCCTCTCTCCCTCTTTGCTCCCCTTTCCCCCCTTTCTGTCTCCCCCCCCCCTCGTTTCACCTCTCTGTCTCTCACTCTCCCCCCCGCTCAAAAAAACCTTCCTGCCCTTTCACTCTCCCTCCTCTACCTCTCTTTTTTCCCCCCCTCCTTCGCTCCCCCCTTTTTGTTTTAACCCCCCACTCTCCCTCTCTCTGTCTCTCACTCTCCTCGCTTTTTAACCTCTCTTTTTTTTCCCCCCACTTTCCCTAAATTTTTTCCCTCTCTCTTTGTAAAAATCTACTCTCTTTTGTCCCCCCCCGCTCTCCCCTCGCTCTACCACCCCTCTGTCTCCCCACAATCCCTCGCTAAAACCTCTCTTGTCTCTAAATCTCCCTAACCTATACCTCTTTTTCCCTCTCACTTCCTTTTTCCCGGTCTCTCACTCTCCCCCCCGCTCTACCCTCTTGTCGCTCTCCCCCTCTCTCCCCCCTTTTTTTCCTCATCTGCTTTTTTTCCCCCATTTTTCTTTTCATTCCAGAGAGGGGGAAGGGAGTAGGGGGGGGTAAAGTTTCCTTTACACAAAAAAACCAGGAACAAACGTTTTACTTATCACTCGGTTCAAATTGCTCCGAAATTTAAAAAAATGTTACTTTTTTTCTCTCTTTGATGTATGGTGTTTTTCCCCCTTAAATTTTAAAAAGTAAAATAAAATAATACATTTCCCAGGAGTCGTAATTTTAAATTTGGGGAATTTCGAACTCCCGATTTTAGCTATGGGCCTCAGATTTTTTTCCCGGGGTTCTCTGAGCTCTTGAAACCAAAAAAATAAAAAAAGGAAAAAAACTACTTTCAAGGCTAAACCCCAAGGAGAAATTTGCAAAAAAAAAGAGTAAAACCCCGGGGGGGGGAATTTTTCCCCAATAAGGTTTAGCCCCGGGTTTTAAAAGAAAAAAAACAAAAATTTTATCAGCAGTAATGTTCCATTTGCAACTTTGGGGGGAAACTTAAAAGGATGAAATACAGTCGTAGTTTTGTTCTAGAAACATAAAAAAACAAAAAACCCTGCTTCATTTTTGTTTTTGCTACCAACGAAAAGCAGTTTTCCCTAAAAATTCGGGTTTCAAAACCCCCCGGTTCGTTTTATTAATTTTAAAAAAGACCCGGGGGGTTTTGTGCTCATCATGGCAGTTTTCCTTTTTTGGGGCCGGGTTCTTTTCAAGGATTATTTCATCAGCAGTTACATAAATCAGTCTCTAAGATCTACAGTCACTGTGAACCATAGATTAATGAATCATGTCAATCATAGCTTTGATCTGGGCGCCCCTCCCTAAACCCTGCCCTGTCCAAAATAACAAAACATGTGTAGGGGTAGGACTAAAGTATAAAACAACAAAAATGAAAACCCAAAACACACACACACCCCGCAAAAAAACCAATAAAATTCCACCCATTATGGGGTTTGAGTCAAAAGTAAGCCCCCAAATGATATTCCCTTTTAATGTTAACTAAAACACCTGACAATTTATTCAAAATTTTCTCCTATCCCCCGAAATAACCTACGAAAAAAATCCATTTTTAATGGAGGGGGTGGTTGGGGGGTAGCTGGGGAAGGGGGATGGCGGACAGCAGGTTTTTATCTTCACTGGCAGCAGACCAACGGACAGACGCCTAAAAAAAAAGGTTGTTTTTTTAGATCTCTCTTTCTTCTCCTCGCTCCCTTTCTTTCTCTCCCCCTTCTGTCTCCCTCTCTCTTCTCCCTGTGTTCTCTCTCCTCTCTCTTTCTCGGGGGTAGAATTTAAGGGCCGCAGCGTATACATCAATCCCTCCGTTCATGCTGAGTGTTGCTATTCAAACTTTAGAATACAAAGGTCCTGTGGTGTTGGTTTGACTGGTAATGACTATAGCCACCAACGGTCCCTGTGGTAGTGGTTTGACTGGTATGACTATAGCCCACCAACAATCCCTTGTGGGTAGTGCGTTTTGGACTGCGTATGACATAGCACCAACAATCCCTATGGTAATTGGTTGACTGGTATGGACGCTAGGCCACCAACGGTCCACTGGGGTATTGGTTTGACTGGTATGACCATAGCCACCAACGGTCTCTGTGGTTTTATATTTTATATTATTTTTTATTTAACCCTTTATTTAACGAGGCAAGTCAGTTAAGAACAAATTATTATTTACAATGACGGCCACACAGGCCAAACCGGACGACGATGGGCCAATTGTGCGCCCAGCCCTATGGGCTAACTCCAAAATAAAGGCCGGTTGTGATGTTGGGTGCCGGTTTGTGATACAGGCATGGAATCGAAACACAGGGGGGGTCGTTAGTGACGCCTCAAGCACTGAGATGCAGTGCCTTAGACCACTGCGCCACTCGGGAGTGGTTTGACTGGTATGACTATAGCCACCAACGGTCCCTGGGGTAGTGGTTTGACTGGTATGACTATAGCCACCAACGGTCCCTGTGGTAGTGGTTTGACTGGTATGACTATAGCCACCAACGGTCCCGTGTAAGTGGTTTGGACGGAGGACTTATAGCCACCACGGTCCCGGTGGTAGTGGTTTGAATGGATGACTATAGCCAACCCCAACGGTTCCCTGGGTTAGTGGTTTGACTGGGATGACTATAGCCACAACGGTCCCTGTGGTAGTGTTTGACTGTAGGACTATAGCCACCAACGGATCCCTGGGGTATTGGTTTGAATGGTAGAATATATCCACCAACAGTCCTCTGTGTAGTGGTGTGACTGGTATGAATATTAGCCACCAACGGTCCTGTGGAGTGGTTGACTGGTATGAAAATAGCCACAACGGTCCCTGGGGGGTCGGTTGAGGGGTTTAGTGGTTGAATGGTATGAATATAGTACACGCAAACGGTCCATGTGGTAGTAGTTTGGAACTGGTATGACTATAGCCACCAACGGTCCCTGTGGGTAGTGGGTTTGTTTGAATGGTTTATGACTATATCCACCAAGGTCCCTTGTGGTAGTGGTTTTGAATGGTATATGACTATATACCCAACGGTCCCTGTGGTAGTGGTTTTTGACTGGTAGGACTATAGCGACCAACGGTCCTGGAGGTTAGTGGTGACTGGATGACTATAGCCACCAAACGGGCCCTGTGGTAGTGGGTTGACGTGGTATATGACTAGTAGCCACGAACGGTCCCCGGGGTATGTTGGATCTGGTATTATGACTATATCCACCAACAGTGCCTGGTGTGGTAGTGGTAGTTGGATGGTAGGGACTATAGCCACCAACGGTCCAGTGGTGTGGTTTTGATGTATGACATAGCCCCCAACGTCCCTGGTGGTGGTAGTGTTTGACTGGTATGACTATAGCCACCAACGGTCCCTGTGGTAGTGGTTTGACTGGTATGACTATAGCCACCAACGGTCCCTGGGTAGTGGTTTGACTGGTATGACTATATCCACCAACGGTCCCTGTGGTAGTGGTTTGACTGGTATGACTATATCCACCAACGGTCCCCTGTTGGTAGATGGTGTTTGAACTTAGTATTGGATATTAGCCACCAACGGTCCCTGGGGTAGTGGTTTGACTGGTATGACTATAGCCACCAACGGTCCCTGTGGTAGTGGTTTTGACTGGTCTATATGATATATCCACCAACGGTCCCCCCTGGTGGTTAGTGGTTGACTGGTATAGGACTCTATCACCAAACGGTCCCCTGTGGTAAGTGGTTTGACTGGTATGGACTATAGCCACCAACGTCCCTGGGGTATTGGTTTGACGGGTATGGACGATATCCCACCCAACGGTCCTGGGGCTAGGGTTGGACTGGTCGGGACTAAGCCACCACGGTCCTGGGGGTAGTGGTTGGACTGGTATGACTATAGCCCCACAACGGGTCCATTGGTGAGTAGTTTGATTGTATGACTATAGCCACCAACGGTCCCTGTGGTAGTGGTTTGACTGGTATGACTATATCCACCAACGGTCCCTGGGGTAGTGGTTTGACTGGTATGACTAAAGCCACCAACGGTCCCTGTGGTAGTGGTTTGACTGGTATGACTATAGCCACCAACGGTACCTGCGGGTTGGTATTGTTTGACTGTGGATGATATAGCAGTACCACGGTCCTGTGGTAGTGGTTGGACTGGTATGACTATAGCCACCAACGGTCCCTGTGGTAGTGGTTTGACTGGTATGACTATAGCCACCACCGGTCCCTGGGGTAGGGTGGTAGTGTTTGACTGGTATGACTATAGCCACCAACGGTCCCTGTGTAGTGGTTTGACTGGTAGGGTATTATAGACTATAGTCCACACCACGGTCCTGTGGTAGTGGTTTGACTGTGAGAGAGCTACCAGCTACAGGGTATGATACAGCAGGCTCAGTGCTGGATCAAGTTGATGGATTGGAAGCTACGGGGGCCTGTTATGTTGCCAGTGTAGTGAGTGATTTGCGCTAATGGGATGGAAAGAAAAGATGTAACAAGGAGGGCACTGCAGGGAACAAAACAAAGACATACAGGACCTCTCTGCCTGTAAGATGGGCGGGGTATTGGGAACAGGTAGGAAAGGACATAGATAGAAAGGGGAACACTCAAAGTAAGTAACTTTGAGTGGTATTGTGGAGAAACTGTCGATTCACCAGGTTGTATACAAACTTGTTAGTTGATAACGGATACTAGAAAAAGAGGGGAGAATGAAATGTAGAAAAAAAATAGTTCGGATGTTTCTCGATTGAACCTGACCAAGCAGGACATGTCACCTACTTGAGTTACAGAAGAACCACGAAGTCAACAACAAAGAAAGCCACATGACCAACTCTATACTCTGTCTGCAGGCATTGACCACATACAGATTTCCAGAGACAACAAGACCAAAAACAATCTGAAAGCGATAGAGTGGAGGCTGCTCGGCCTGCAGGATGCACCCACAAAAGGCTCTCACTGTGTTTTACATTCTTTGCTTATTGCTCAGCTACACTGGCCCTGCTCTTTAATCACACCAGAAACACATGCTGCTGGCGATATCACTCTACAAATCTAGAGAGTCACGCTATAGCGCTATATGGTTCGAATAGCTTATACTCTATATCTCTGCTAGCGACAGATAGCTAGTGCGCTCTCGTAGCGCGCGAAAGCTCAATCTCCTCTCTCTCCCCTCTCTATCTCTCGCTCTCTCTCTCTCTCCCTCTCCCGATCCCCACCCCCCTCTCTCTCTCTCTAGTCTCTCTCTCTCTCTCTATATCTCTCTCTGAGTGGAACTAGTCCACGCTATTAATAAAACGTTTAAGAAGTGACTTCATCTGTATTCCCAGCACTCTGTGAAACCTTAACGCCCTCATCTGTTCAGAATGACATCCCCAGTCCCCACCCACACCCAGGGCTAAACCAATTAGAGCTCAGAACACGCAACTCAAACCAATCAGCTGTGAGATGGCTGATGTTTCCTGGTGTGCGCACATTCGCCATTTAAATGAGTCATGATGACATCAAGGAGAGAGTGTGTTCTTGTTACTAGTCGTGCCATTTTGATCGGGCAGAATACGAAAACCAATCTCACGGGGTGCAATCAGCACTCTACCGAAAACCAAATTCACGGGGTGCAATCAGCACTCTACTGAAATCCAAATTCACGGGGTGCATCAGTACTCTACCGAAAAACCAAATTCACGGGGTGCAATCAGCACTCTAACGAAAAACATTAAGCTGACAGGCCAACACTTTTAGAGCGCCTTGTCGAAAGTAATGTAGTTTGCTTTTCCAAGTATTCTCCCTACAGCAAATTAAATAGATGTTTCCCAGAAAGCAACAGAACAGATTAGACTCTAGTCATTAGAGAATCAGAGAGAGAGAGATGAGAGAGAGAGAGAGAGAGAGAGAGAGAGAGAGAGAGAGAGCGAGAGAGAGAGAGAGCGAGAGAGAGAGAGAGAGAATAAGATACTAAAACAGAGACAGAAAGAGAGAGTGACACCAAAAACAGAGTCCAGTGGTGACTTATGCCAAACCTCCCTCCCTCCTTCCCCAGACAAGGTCACAGTCCATTACCCATAGCGGACACAGACAAACCTGGCAGGACCATAGAGCAAGAAGGTTAGACACATTGGTAATTAACGACAGGGGGGCTGATAGCATCTTTAATTATGCACACACACTCAGACACTGACTAATCACCAGACCAACTGTTCTCATTAGCAGCATTTGGTTGGTCGGTGGGAGACTGTCTGTCTGCGACTGGCATGCTAAATAGACCTTGGCTCTGTATTGTACCGTGGTGTATTTTTACCACCCCATGGTGGGAGTATGATGGGGAATAAGGCTTGCAGTAGGAGCGACCGGAGAGACTGTCTGTCAGCTGTGGTAAATTAACCAGGCTGCATGGTACCATGGGTATTTTTAACCCACCAGTTGTGGTAGTATGATGGACCGGGGCCTAAGGCTATGAGGCTGGTGTGATGAGTGGAGGGGTCAGGGGTCGTAGAGATAGTACAGGTGATATATTGCTGTGAGGCTGGTCTAAAGAGTGGAGGGGTCAGGGGTCGTAGAGAAAGTACAGGTGATATATTGCTGTGAGGCTGGTCTAAAGAGTGGAGGGATCAGGGGTCGTAGAGAAAGTACAGGTGATATATTGCTGTGAGGCTGGTCTAAAGAGTGGAGGGGTCAGGGGTCGTAGAGAAAGTACAGGTGATATATTGCTGTGAGGCTGGTCTAAAGAGTGGAGGGATCAGGGGTCGTAGTAACGAAAGGTTTCCTAGAGATCATGAATATATGGAAAGAAAGATGGAATTAGAAGAGCTTAATTATAAGCCCTCTGAATTTCTCCTGCTTAAAGTAGGAGTCGTCCCTGTACTTCCTTACAGTACACAGCCCTGCAGTATATGATTGTAATCCCAAACTAAGATAAACATTCAAAACAATGAAGTCTAAGCTCCCAAACAATAACTGTAAAAGATTCATTCTTTGGTTGAAATCCGTCTCGAAGGACCACTTCTAAATGAGGTGTTGGAGTGTTGCACAAGCAGCAAAGCTGCCAAAGACCACAGGGAGTAGCAGATAGACTTGACTGAGGCCATGAAGATGAGTTAAATGAGTGTTGGCTTAGTGAGGCCATTGTTGTGGTAAGAGTCCTGCACCTCCACAGTACGCGCTGTCGTCCCTCAGCGCACGGTAGCCATCTTTACAGCTGCAGCAGGACCCAGCCTCCAGATTCACACACTCCGAGTTCTCCACACAGCTGGGACTGTGGCCCTCCACACAGAAATTATGACCTGAGAGAGGGGGGGGAGGGGGAAAGATATAGAGACTGTCTGGTCATTCTACAGCAGATAAATCACCCTGTCTTACACTTGTGTGTGTGTGTGTGTGTGTGTGTGTGTGTGTGTTTGTGTGTGTGCTTTCTTTCCTCAAATGATTTCTCCCCGTCTCGACCCTGGCCATAGACAAATAACTAGAGAGATAGAACAACAGGTATATATGGCTGAGACCACAGTTCACTCTGTAGAGACACAGGTCAGGAGGAAATAAGGCTTCATCAGAGAACAGTAGCATGTTGTTAAGGCCTGGTGTGTGGCTGTCAGAGAGATGCATGGCTGTGTGCTGACCACATCTAGTATGTATGTGGGTAATGTCATGAGTGCGTCCCAAATCGCCTATTCCCTTTATAGTGCACTACTTTTGACCAGGGCACTTACGGCTGTGGTCAAAAGTAGTGCACTAAAAGTGGGACATTTGGGACACAGCCCAGAGAGAGGCCTCATTACCAGCCAAGCAGGAGACATACATCATCTAAGGAGGGAGAGGGAGCGGACCGACTTTTAATATCCATTCTCCCTTATCTATGTAATATTCATATGTGTCAGCATACTGAATTGTAATTGGATGCATTCTACCGTCGTATCCTACTGCGCTATGATTGGTTAAGACCACCCAGGTGGTGAGGTCATCTTCAAGATGATCATGGCCAGAGACATATGAACATGCCAGTTATAGCTAGTTAATAAAGAGCTAAGTTTAGAAAGATCCTGTCGTCCTGCATTTTATTACTTTTGTACAAAGCATACAAAACAAGACAATCTATTAGACAGCATAAACACTATCTCACTTCCGCTCCAAGAATCTGTGTGTGTGTGTATGTGTATGTGTGTGTGTGTGTGTGTGTGTGTGTGTGTGTGTGTGTGTGTGTGTGTGTGTGTGTGTGTGTGTGTGTGTGTGTGTGTGTGTGTGTGTGTTGTGTTGTGTGTGTGTGTGTGTGTGTGTGTGTGTGTGTGTGTGTGTGTGTGTGTGTGTGTGTGTGTGTGTGTGTGTGTGTGTGTGTGTGTGTGTGTGTGTGTGTGTGAGTTCCAGACCCACCTCTGCAGACCTTGCAGCAGCGGTCTGTAAGGGTGATGTGTTCAGACTCAGGGCAGGTCAGTTCAGGACAGGGGGCGTTCTCCACCCTCCGCATGCTGCGCTCCTGTAAAACCATGACACAATAGGTGCTTACAGTAACAGCTCTGTCACAATTCATCTTCTCTGCTTTAGACATGGACATCTCACTTCTAACAACAATAGATCATTACATTAAATGCTAATATATGCTAATATATACAGTGAGGGAAAAAAGTATTTGATCCCCTGCTGATTTTGTACGTTTGCCCACTGACAAAGAAATTATCAGTCTATAATTTTAATGGTAGGTTTATTTGAACAGTGAGAGACAGAATAACAACAACAAAATCCAGAAAAAGGCATGTCAAAAATGTTATAAATTGATTTGCATTTTAATGAGGGAAATAAGTATTTGACCCCCTCTCAATCAGAAAGATTTCTGGCTCCCAGGTGTCTTTTATACAGGTAACGAGCTGAGATTAGGAGCACACTCTTAAAGGGAGTGCTCCTAATCTCAGCTTGTTACCTGTATAAAAGACACCTGTCCACAGAAGCAATCAATCAATCAGATTCCAAACTCTCCACCATGGCCAAGACCAAAGAGCTCTCCAAGGATGTCAGGGACAAGATTGTAGACCTACACAAGGCTGGAATGGGCTACAAGACCATCGCCAAGCAGCTTGGTGAGAAGGTGAAAAACAGTTGGTGCGATTATTCGCAAATGGAGAAGAAAACACAAATAACTGTCAATCTCCTCGGCCTGGGGCTCCATGCAAGATCTCACCTCGTGGAGTTGCAATGATCATGAGAATGGTGAGGAATCAGCCCAGAACTACACGGAGGATCTTGTCAATGATCTCAAGGTAGCTGGGACCATAGTCACCAAGAAAACAATTGGTAACACACTAACGCTGTGAAGGACTGAAATCCTGCAGTGCCCGCAAGGTCCCCCCTGCTCAGAAAGCACATATACAGGCCCGTCTGAAGTTTTGCCAATGAACATCTGAATGATTCAGAGGAGAACTGGGGTGAAAGTGTGTGGTCAGATGAGACCAAATCGAGCTCTTTGGCATCAACTCAACTTGCCGTGTTTGGAGGAGGAGTGAATAGTGCCTATGACTCCAAGAACACCATCCCCACCCGTCAAACATGGAGGTGGAAACATTATGCATTGGGGGTGTTTTTCTGCTAAGGGGACAGGACAACTTCACCGCATCAAAGGGACAATGGACGGGGCCATGTACCGTCAAATCTTGGGTGAGAACCTCCTTCCCTCAGCCAGGGCATTGAAAATGGGTCGTGGATGGGTATTCCAGCATGACAATGACCCAAAACACACGGCCAAGGCACAAAGGAGTGGCTCAAGAAGAAGCACATTAAGGTCCTGGAGTGGCCTAGCCAGTACCTCCAGACCTTAATCCCATAGAAAATCTGTTGAGGGAATGAAGGTTCGAGTTGCCAAACGTCAGCCTCGAAACCTTAATGACTTGGAGAAGATCTGCAAAGAGGAGTGGGACAAAATCCCTCCTGAGATGTGTGCAAACCTGGTGGCCAACTACAAGAAACGTCTGACCTCTGTGATTGCCAACAAGGGTTTTGCCACCAAGTACTAAGTCATGTTTTGCAGAGGGGTCAAATACTTATTTCCTCCATTAAAATACAAATCAATTTATAACATTTTTTACATGCGTTTTTTGGATTTTTTGTTGTAATTCTGTCTCTCAATGTTCAAATAAACCTACCATTACAATTATAGACTGATCATGTCTTTGTCAGTGGCCAAACGTACAAAATCAGCAAGGGATCAAATACTTTTTTCCCTCACTGTATTATACCTATTTGGTTTATTTATCTATTTGCGCCTCGCTTTGGTTTCTAAAAAATCCATCTCCGGGGGTTTTCCCCGTTTCCTATCTGTTCTGTCGTTTTCTATGACAAGCCTATATCTTTTTTCTGTGAACGTTCTTGCAACCTCTATCTGTTCTGTGGACTTTTCCCCTATAGACCCCCCCAAGTTTTATCGTTCTGTGAGACTGTCAAGCACCCTACTTTTTCTGTGAGAGTTCTAGACAAGCTCTCTATCTTTTTCGGGGAACGTTTTATAACACTCTCTATCTGTTCTGTAGCTTTCCCTTGAAAGCTCTCTATCTTTCTGTGAAGGCTTGCCAACTTTCTCGAGAGGTTTGAAAAGGCTACTTCTTTAACGGGGCCTCCCACCACAAGAAATACTTTAAATATTGATTTAACATGAAAGGCCCCCAACCCAAAAGGGTTTTTTTAATAATTTAGGGTTTGTTTTCCATAGGGCCGGGGGGTTTTTTTTGGGTTTCCCAAGGGTTTCCTATAGGGTTTCATGGTGGTTGTCCTATGGGATTTCAGGGTTTGTTTCTCATGGGATTTCTGGTGGTTGTCTCATAGGGATTTTCATGGTGTGTTGTCTCTTTTGGGTTCTCATGGGGTGTTTGTCTCTATGGGATTTTGGTGTTTTTCCCTCTATGGGGATTCTCATGGTGTGTTGTCTCTATGGGATTCTCATGGTGTGTTTGTCTCTATAGGGATTCTCATGGTGTGTTGTCTCTAAAGGGATTCTCATGGTGTGTTGTCTTATAGGGATTCTCATGGTGTGTTGTCTCTATAGGGATTCTCATGGTGTTGCCCTCTAGGGGGGTTCCATGGGGGTTTTGTCTTTAAGGGGATTCTCATGGTGTGTTGTCCTTTAGGGGTTCATGTGTGTTGTCTCTATAGGGATTCCATGGTGTTTTCTTATGGGGATTCCCCATGGTGTTTGTCTTTATGGGTTTTCTCTGGGGGTTTTTTCTCTATAGGGTTCCTGGTGTGTTTCTCTATGGGGGTTCTCAGGGTTTTGTCTTATAGGGATTTCAGGGGTGTGTTGTCTTTAGGGATTCTCATGGTGGTTGTCTCTAGGGGATTCTCAGGTGTTTTTCTTTATGGGATTCTCATGGGGGTTTTTGTCCTATAGGGATTCTCATGGTGTGTTGTCTCTATAGGGATTCTCATGGTGTGTTGTCTCTATAGGGATTCATGGTGTGTTGTCTCTATAGGTTCTCAGGGTGGTTGCCCCTCTATAGGGATTCTCAGGTTTTGTCTCTATAGGGATTCTCATGGGGGGTTTTTGCTCTATAGATTTCATGGTGTTTGAGGCTGGTGTGTTCGGGCATGACAAACAAAGAGGGGTGTAACGGGGTGTAGTGTTTTTGGGACTACCTGACCCAAAACAGAAAACTTTTTCCAGTAATCCCTCCCCTTCAATCCCCTTCCACGTAAAAACCCCTTTCCCCTCTGAACAACCCACTGTGGACCATACCACAAAAAATCCCTACACACACACCACACCACACACACCCAACACACACACCACACACCACACCACACCCCACACACACCCCACCCCACACTTTTTATTATTCCTACCCCTTTTTAACAGGGGAGAAAGGTAGCTGTTTACACAGCTTAATCATTATTTAAATGGTTTTCTTTTAAACGCTGGCTCCAATACAGCGGTTTTAAAGACTGCCTTGAATTTTGATGTATATGTAGAGCGGAGCAAAAAAGAGAGAGGAAAGAGAGGAGAAATTAGAAAAATAAGAACGATTTCAGTGGGCCATGGTCCTGTAGCTGTTCGTGATGAAGAGAGGAGAAGGAAAAAAAGGGGGGTGAAGAGGAAAAGGAGACAAAAGGGGGTTGGTGGAGGGGGGAAAGGAAAGAGAGGAAGAGAAGAAGGGGTGTGAGAGGAGAGAGAGAAAGGTTGACCAAACCCTTTGGGGGTCAAAAGGGGCAGGGGGGGAGAGGTTTTCCCCTGGGGCGTTTTTGGTTTTCCCCGCCCCCCCGGGGTTTTTTGGGGGGGGGGCCTGCGCGCCGCGCGCGCCCGGGCCCCTCGGGGCGCGCGCCGGGTTTCCCGGGCCGCGCGCGCGTGGTGCCCCGGGGGCGCCGGGTTTTTGTCCCGCGGGCCGGGGGTGGGTGTCGCGTGGGGGCGGGGCCCCGGGGGGGGCCGGGCCGGGGGCCCCGGGGGCCGCGGCGCGGGCTTGCCGGGGTTTAGGGGAAGGGGGGTTGTGAGCTGGGAGAGAGGAGGAGGGGGGAAAAGGGAGGGGGGGCCCCGAGGGGGGGGGCGGGGGGGGGGTGTACGCGGACAGCAGGCCGGCCGTGGGGAGGTGAGGAAAAAGTTTTTGGTGAGGGGGCCCGGTGGTTGGGGGGGGGGAGAGGGGGGGGGGGTAAAAGGGGGGGGGGGGAGAGAAGAGGTGTTGGGGGGGGGGGGGGTGGGGGGGGGGGGTTCGCGCGGCGCCGCGCGCCGGGTGTCCGCGGCCCCCCGCCGGGGCCCCCGGCGGGGCGGCGCGCGCCGGGGTGCGCGCGCGCGCGCGCGCCGTGGTGTCCCGGCGCGCGCCGCCGGGGCGCGCGCCCGCGCGCGCGCCCGGCCGCCGGCGGGGCCGCCGGGCGCGCGCCCCGCCGGGGCCGCCCCGCCGCGCGCCGCGCCCCCGGGGCGCGCGGCCGCGCGCCCGGGCCCGGGCGCGCGGCGCCCCGCCGCGCGCGCGCGCGGCGCGCCCGGGGGGGCGGGGGGGTTTGGGGGGAGGGGGCGGGGGGCGGGGGGGGGCGGGCCCCGGGGCCCGGGCGGGGGGGGGGGGCGCTCCCGCCCGGGTTTCCCCCGCCCGCGCGCCCCCGCCCCGCGCGCGCGCGCGGCCCTCTCGCGCGCCCCCCGCGCCGCGCCCCCCGCTTTCCCCCCCGCGCGGGTTCCCCGGCCGCGCGCCCGGGTGTCGCGGGCGCCCCCGCCGGGGCGCGGGGCCCGGGGCGCGGCGGGCGCGCCGCCCGCGCCCCCTTTCCCGGTGCGCGCGGCTCGCGCGCCCGCCGTGTCTCCGCGGCGCGCGCGCGCCTGGTTTCCGCGGCCCCGCGCGCCTGTGTGCGCTTCCGCGCGCCCTGGTGTCGGGGGCGCCCCGCGCCCCCTTGGTTCGCCGCGCCGCGGCCGCGCGCGCGCGCCCGGGGCCCTCGCCGCGGCGCGCCGTGGTTCGGGGGGCCGCCCCCCGGGGCTGCCCCGTTTCCGGCGCGCCTTGGTTTCCGCGGCGCGCGCCGCCTGGTGCCGGCTCCCGGGGCCCCGCGGTGCGCGCGCCGGGGGTGTCGCCCCGGCGCCCGGGGGCCCCGGCCGTTGTCCGCCGCGGCCGGCGCGCGGCCGCGGCGCGCGCCCCGCGCGCCGCCCCGCGCCGCGCGCCGCCCCCGCGTCTCGGCGGGGCCGCGCCCGTGGTGTCCGCGGCGCGCGCGCGCCGTGGGTGTCCGCTCCGCGCGCGCGCGGGGGCGCGCGCCGCGCGCCGCGCCGCGCGCCGCGCGCCCCGCGCGCGCGGCGCGCCGCGCGCGCCGCGCGGCGCGCGCCCCGGGGTTCGCCTCCGCGCGCCGCGGGCGCGGCGCGCCGCGCGGCCTGGTCGCCGGCGCGCGCGCCGGGGTTTCGCGCGGCCGCGCGCGCCGCTTTGCCGGCCCCGCCCCCCCCGGGGTTTTCCGCGGGCGCGGCCCCCCGGGCCCTTTTAGGCTGGGGGGCTGGTTCCCTGTGGCCCCGGGCTTGGTGTTTTCCCCCCTGCCCCTTTGCGCCGGCCTGGCACATACCAGGTGCAAGTCAGGGGGACACAGGGGGGGGGGAAACAGATGGTCTCACCTGACGTACCATTCTAAAGGAATAAGACAAAAACAGACATTATTAGTATAAAGATCTATGATCTCCAACCTGGACTGTACCATTCTAAAAGGGGATTCAAATCTAAACAAAAGCAGATTTATTCACTCAGACAATTGATCAACACACAATATTACTCAGAACCTCAGACTGATCCCCCTATAATGGACTGAACCATTCTACGGAGCTATAACAAACCCCAAGACCAGAAAGTCTATGGGTGCGTTCATAAATTAGCTCTGGCGCAGAATAACTGATGAATTTACGAACGCTCAACACCCGTTGAATATGGCCGGTGTCAGTAAACGTCAGCAAAAAAGCGTAATTCAATTGTTGCCTGCAGCACAGTTACAGTCACCAACGCTCTGGATAACATGAAAACAGCCTAACCAGCTCTGCTAGGGCGAGTAAAATGGTCAGAGTGAGGTGTTCTCTCATTTGTGTCTGGAAGTAGCTAGCAAGCTAGCCAACATTAGCCAGTTAGCTTGGGTGCTTGACTGCCGTTGTGAGGTCAGAACGTTACGATCAACCCTACTCCAGTGCACAGTCCAGATTGAGTTGATACACCATATGTCTTGATCTCTGGGATCAGGAGAATCACATAGAGTTGATACACCATATGTCTTGATCTCTGGGATCAGGAGAATCACATAGAGTTGATACACCATATGTCTTGATCTCTGGGATCAGGAGAATCACATAGAGTTGATACACCATATGTCTTGATCTCTGGGATCAGGAGAATCACATAGAGTTGATTGCACTAGTGATTTTTAGGTTATGGTTTTCCATTCAGTGCCGTCCCTTTAAGTCCCGGATAACTGTGATCATGAAGTGAACTATTCCTTTAAGTCCACAGTGATTATAGAGTGAACTGTCCCTTTAAACCCACAGTGATTATAGAGTGAACTGTCCCTTTACAAAAACATTTATTTTTACTGCTCTAATTACGTTTGTAACTAGTTTATAATAGCAATAAGGCACCTCGGGGGGTTGTGATATATGGCCAATATACCGCGGCTAAGGGCTGTATCCAGGCACTCCGCGTTGCATCGTGCTTAAGAACAGCCCTTAGCCATGGTATATTGGCCATATACCACACCTCCTCGGGCATTATTGCTTAATTATAGTCTGTCATAGTGTGTTATAGCCTGTTTCAGTCTGTTATAGTGTGTTATAGCCTGTTTCAGTCTGTTATAGTGTGTTATAGTGTGTTATAGCCTGTTATAGTGCGTTATAGTGTGTTATAGCCTGTTATAGTGTGTTATAGTGTGTTATAGCCTGTTATAGTGCGTTATAGTGTGTTATAGCCTGTTATAGTGTGTTATAGTGTGTTATAGCCTGTTATAGTGTGTTATAGTGCGTTATAGTGTGTTATAGCCTGTTATAGTGTGTTATAGTGTGTTATAGTCTTACATAGCAGGAACAGTTCCTGCATCCGTCTGTCCATCCTTCGTCCTCCCTGTACAGCACTCCGTTCATACTGCAGGTCCTCTCACAGTAACAGCCATCCAGAGCCTGCATTTTCTCCTCCGCACGCGACAGCTGCACACACACACACACACCAAAACAAAGATACAGAGTTAGTGTGTGTGTATGTATGTGTGTGTATGTGTGTGTGTGTGTGTATGTGTGTGTGTTTATGTGTGTGTGTGTGTGTGTGTGTGTGTGTGTGTGTGTGTGTGTGTGTGTGTGTGTGTGTGTGTGTGTGTGTGTGTGTGTGTGTGTGTGTGTGTGGGTGTGTGGGTGTGTGTGTGAATGTGTCTATGTGTGTGTGTGTGTGTGTGTGTGTATGTGTGTGTGTATGTCTGTGTGTGTGTCAGCCTACAGTATTTGCGCACACAAAAATGCCTGTGTGTATTTTTGCGTGTGTTCGTGCAAATGAATGCGTGTATGAGAATATTTCTGTCAACAGCCCGTTGTTACGGTCTGCTTTTTAACTCATCATTTATTCAACAACCCAGCGTGGCACGACAAGGGAACCAGAGCCCAGTAAACCAGGACAGAGATGCTCCATGTGCTGTATTACAGAACAGTGAATGGATGTTCCCTAACTTACCGTCTGTGTGAATGATTCATGCACTTATGCCTTGTACACTGACAGGACATCAGGCGGTGGTGTACATGGCAGCTGTCCACATCTACACCATTACTCTACACTGAGTGGGAGTCGTAAGAAAAGCTAGCATGTCGACCAGAGAGACACAACAGAGGGTGAATCTCAATAGTCAAAAGTGGCTTCCTCTCCTCTCCTGTCCCTTCAGATCAATGCAGATTAAGGGAAGAAGACAAGGAGAGGAAACAAATGTAGACTATTGAGACACACATTGTCTAATGCTACAGTACCTTGCTGGAGGTCTTGGCTAAGACATCCTGCAGCTCCATGATCTTCTGCACCAGCCCATGGAAGTCATTGCAGGTGGGGCAAGCTGAAACACAGGTAAGTCAAGGTAATGTAATGTTGGCATGATAGTTCCATTGTCAATGTCCATGTAACTGTACCGGCAAGCATATTAGGGCTTTCTGTTTTTACTGTAAATGCATGTGTGCGGGTGCATTTTTGGACTCTCATTTTAATGCGAGTTTTCCGACTTTTATGTATGTAAAATATGTTTTCAGCATGTTTTCAAGTTTTTCCCGACTTTTTGGTACTAAAAGTAACGTTCTCTTATGCGGTTGAGGGCTGGGCCTGGGGATTAGCCTTTAGGGTACGACCGCTGCATCCTGCATTTTAAAACCCGTATGACAGGGGGGGGGGGAGAAGGAAGTGAACCCTAGGGTGAAATGATAGAGAGTGAAGAGGTTAGACAAATAAAAAGAGAGAAAAGGGGCGGAAAGAGAGAGAGAGGTTGACTTTAATCATTCTATGCAGGATAGTTAGCCCAGCTAAACTCCATGGGTGTGACGTTGCTGACTTTTGGAAACCTAGAACTGAAAAAGAGACATTCAAAACCAGCTACCTGACATTGGAATCACTAGAAGCTGATGAGCGAGGTTCAGACCCGCTACATCATTGGAACACTGGCGATGAACAAGTACAGAACCCTACCCTGACATTGGAATCACTAGAAGCTGATGAGACAGAGGTTCAGAACCAGCTACCTGGCAGTTGGAATCACTAGAAGCTGATGAGACAGAGGTTCAGAACCAGCTACCTGACAGTTGGAATCACTAGAAGCTGATGAGACAGAGGTACAGAACCAGCTACCTGACAGTTGGAATCACTAGAAGCTGATGAGACAGAGGTACAGAACCAGCTCCCTGACAGTTGGAATCACTAGAAGCTGATGAGACACAGGTACAGAACCATCTCCCTGACAGTTGGAATCACTAGAAGCTGATGAGACAGAGGTACAGAACCAGCTACCTGGCAGTTGAATCACTAGAAAGCTGATGAAACAGAGGTACAGAACCAGCTACCTGGCATTGGAATCACTAGAAGCTGATGAGACAGAGGTACCGAACCAGCTACCTGACAGTTGGAATCACTAGAAGCTGATGAGACAGAGGTACAGAACCAGCTACCTGACAGTTGGAATCACTAGAAGCTGATGAGACAGAGGTTCAGAACCAGCTACAGTGAGGGAAAAAAGTATTTGATCCCCTGCTGATTTTGTACGTTTGCCCACTGACAAAGACATGATCAGTCTATAATTTTAATGGTAGGTTTATTTGAACAGTGAGAGACAGAATCATGAGAAAAAAATCCAGAAAAACGCATGTCAAAAATGTTATAAATTGATTTGCATTTTAATGAGGGAAATAAGTATTTGACCCCTCTGCAAAACATGACTTAGTACTTGGTGGCAAAAACCCTTGTTGGCAATCACAGAGGTCAGATGTTTCTTGTAGTTGGCCACCAGGTTTGCACACATCTCAGGAGGGATTTTGTTCCACTCCTCTTTGCAGATCTTCTCCAAGTCATTAAGGTTTCGAGGCTGACGTTTGGCAACTCGAACCTTCAGCTCCCTCCACAGATCTTCTATGGGATTAAGGTCTGGAGACTGGCTAGGCCACTCCAGGACCTTAATGTGCTTCTTCTTCAGCCACTCCTTTGTTGCCTTGGCCGTGTGTTTTGGGTCATTGTCATGCTGGAATACCCATCCACGACCCATTTTCAATGCCCTGGCTGAGGGAAGGACGTTCTCACCCAAGATTTGACGGTACATGACCCCGTCCATCGTCCCTTTGATGCGGTGAAGTTGTCCTGTCCCCTAAGCAGAAAAACACCCCTAAAGCATAATGTTTCCACCTCCATGTTTGACGGTGGGGATGGTGTTCTTGGGGTCATAGGCAGCAATCCTCCTCCTCCAAACACAGCGAGTTGAGTTGATGCCAAAGAGCTCGATTTTAGTCTCATCTGACCACAACACTTTCACCCAGTTCTCCTCTGAATCATTCAGATCTTCATTGGCAAACTTCAGACGGCATGTATATGTGCTTTCTTGAGCAGGGGGACCTTGCGGACGCTGCAGGACTTCAGTCCTTCACGGTGTAGTGTGTTACCAATTGTTTTCTTGGTGACTATGGTCCCAGCTGCCTTGAGATCATTGACAAGATCCTCCCATGTAGTTCTGGGCTGTTTTCTCACCGTTCTCATGATCATTGCAACTCCACGAGGTGAGATCTTGCAGGCCGAGGGAGATTGACAGTTATTTTGTGTTTCTTCCATTTGCGAATAATCGCACCAACTGTTGTCACCTTCTCACCAAGCTGCTTGGCGATGGTCTTGTAACCCATTCCAGCCTTGTGTAGGTCTACAATCTTGTCCCTGACATCCTTGGAGAGCTCTTTGGTCTTGGCCATGGTGGAGAGTTTGGAATCTGATTGATTGCTTCTGTGGACAGGTGTCTTTTATACAGGTAACAAGTTGATATTAGGAGCACTCCCTTTAAGAGTGTGCTCCTAATCTCAGCTCATTACCTGTATAAAAGACACCTGGGAGCCAGAAATCTTTCTGATTGAGAGGGGGTCAAATACTTTTTTCCCTCATTAAAATGCAAATCAATTTATAACATTTTTGACATGCGTTTTTCTGGATTTTGTTGTTGTTATTCTGTCTCTCACTGTTCAAATAAACGTAACATTAAAATTATAGACTGATAATTTCTTTGTCAGTGGGCAAACGTACAAAATCAACAGGGGATCAAATACTTTTTTCCCTCACTGTACCTGACAGTAGGAATCACTAGAAGCTGATGAGACAGAGGTACAGAACCAGCTACCTGACAGTTGGAATCACTAGAAGCTGATGAGACAGAGGTTCAGAACCAGCTACATGACAGTTGGAATCACTAGAAGCTGATGAGACAGAGGTTCAGAACCAGCTACCTGACAGTTGGAATCACTAGAAGCTGATGAGACAGAGGTACAGAACCAGCTACCTGGCAGTTGGAATCACTAGAAGCTGATGAGACAGAGGTTCAGAACCAGCTACCTGGCAGTTGGAATCACTAGAAGCTGATGAGACAGAGGTACAGAACCAGCTACCTGAACCAGCCGTGTGTTCTGGAGATGACGGATCCACTGTGCCGAAACTGACGTGATTAGAAGCTATGTGAGGTTTAAGCTCTGGCACGTCAATTTACACACACACACACACACACACACACACACACACACACACACACACACACACACACACACACACACACACACACACACACACACACACACACACACTCACACTCTGAATGTGTTTGACTGTTTAACATCGCAGTCTGTCTAGTATTACCAATGAATACATATCACACCATACTAGAGATGAACACTGGTAACCGGGATCACTCTTCACATTTCTCTAGCGTATTAACTGGTGTTGAGAACAACGTGGCGGAGGCAGGTGGCAGCATGAGGAGACGAGGAAACAGCCATTGGGCCTAGAAAAAGCGCAGAGACAGTTAAACTCACCTTAGTTATGATCAACTGAATTATGAAAATATTGGAGTATAGTAGCCAAATGTATCAAATTCGTGCCTATACTGAAACCCCCAAACTCATATCCAACCGTTACACTAATTTAAACCAATAGTCGTGTGTGTTGATTGCAGCGCGGTTTTGGTTGGGACAGCGCCATCGCGCTGCTTTGAGACAAGCCTGGGGCGTAGCAGTGGAAAGTAGAGGTGCTGCTGCACCCCCTGAAAAACCCTCCCCCCGGTCGACAAAACTTAATCATCAATTAGATTTTGACAAATAGGATATATTCTGTCATTATCTATCAAGCTTAGCAACTTTGGTTATTTGACTTTTGTTTGACTGCCGTTACAAGGTTTTATTGATTTGACAACGCTATAGCCTACTCGGGGTGCGCTCTGTGTCCAGATAGCCTAGGCCTACTGCTGAAATGTGCTGAATTCATTGAGGAACATGATAACACTCTGAATATATGAACGGCCTGTTTAAAAATGTACAACAATGTCATTGGCGACTGTATCATTACTGAATATCCGTTTCACTACCTGTGAAATCTGTACATAGTGATGCAGCCAAGCCGGCAAGGTGGCGCAGCGACAATCTCACTTGGGGAGAACCCTGGCATAGTGACCGTATCTTGGTTGTAAACACTTTAAATGGGCACTTCAGATTTTTGCAGTACTTCCAGCGACTCTGGATAAATATGAATTTTTCTCTGAATTGAAACTTCGTAGATTTTTGGGAAAATATGAATCCCTACACCATACCTTGAAGTATCCATGGGCCTGGTTCCTCTGTCCGAGCCAGACAGTGGTCTCAGAGGGAATGTCCATAGACGGAGGCTCTATCACCCTCTCATAGATCCTAGAGGAGAAGGGGAAAACAAGAGGATAGCATACTGTTTATACACAGAACATACTGGAGGATAGCATACTGTTTATACACAGAACATACTGGAGGATAGCATACTGTTTATACACAGAACATACTGGAGGATAGCATGCTGTTTATACACAGAACATTCTGGAGGATAGCATACTGTTTATACACAGAACATACTGAAGGATAGCATACTGTTTATACACAGAACATTCTGGAGGATAGCATACTGTTTATACACAGAACATACTGAAGGATAGCATACTGTTTATACACAGAACATTCTGGAGGATAGCATACTGTTTATACACAGAACATACTGAAGGATAGCATACTGTTTATACACAGAACATACTGAAGGATAGCATACTGTTTATACACAGAACATACTGGAGGATAGCATGCTGTTTATACACAGAACATACTGGAGGATAGCATACTGTTTATACACAGAACATACTGGAGGATAGCATACTGTTTATACACAGAACATACTGGAGGATAGCATACTGTTTATACACAGAACATACTGGAGGATAGCATACTGTTTATACACAGAACATACTGGAGGATAGCATACTGTTTATACACGGAACATTCTGGAGGATAGCATACTGTTTATACACAGAACATACTGGAGGATAGCATGCTGTTTATACACAGAACATACTGAAGGATAGCATACTGTTTATACACAGAACATACTGGAGGATAGCATGCTGTTTATACACAGAACATACTGGAGGATAGCATGCTGTTTATACACAGAACATACTGGAGGATAGCATACTGTTTATACACAGAACATACTGGAGGATAGCATACTGTTTATACACAGAACATACTGGAGGATAGCATACTGTTTATACACAGAACATACTGGAGATAGCATACTGTTTATACACAGAACATACTGGAGGATAGCATACTGTTTATACACGGAACATTCTGGAGGATAGCATACTGTTTATACACAGAAATACTGGAGGATAGCATACTGTTTATACACAGAACATACTGGAGGATAGCATACTGTTTATACACAGAACATACTGGAGGATAGCATACTGTTTATACACGGAACATACTGAAGGAAGCATACTGTTTATACACAGAACATACTGGAGGATAGCATGCTGTTTATACACAGAACATACTGGAGGATAGCATACTGTTTATACACAGAACATACTGGAGGATAGCATACTGTTTATACACAGAACATACTGGAGGATAGCATACTGTTTATACACAGAACATACTGGAGGATAGCATACTGTTTATACACAGAACATACTGGAGGATAGCATACTGTTTATACACGGAACATTCTGGAGGATAGCATACTGTTTATACACAGAACATACTGGAGGATAGCATGCTGTTTATACACAGAACATACTGAAGGATAGCATACTGTTTATACACAGAACATACTGGAGGATAGCATGCTGTTTATACACAGAACATACTGGAGGATAGCATGCTGTTTATACACAGAACATACTGGAGGATAGCATACTGTTTATACACAGAACATACTGGAGGATAGCATACTGTTTATACACAGAACATACTGGAGGATAGCATACTGTTTATACACAGAACATACTGGAGGATAGCATACTGTTTATACACAGAACATACTGGAGGATAGCATACTGTTTATACACGGAACATTCTGGAGGATAGCATACTGTTTATACACAGAACATTCTGGAGGATAGCATGCTGTTTATACACAGAACATACTGGAGGATAGCATACTGTTTATACACAGAACATTCTGGAGGATAGCATACTGTTTATACACAGAACATTCTGGAGGATAGCATACTGTTTATACACAGAACATACTGGAGGATAGCATACTGTTTATACACAGAACATTCTGGAGGATAGCATACTGTTTATACACAGAACATACTGGAGGATAGCATACTGTTTATACACAGAACATTCTGGAGGATAGCATACTGTTTATACACAGAACATACTGGAGGATAGCATACTGTTTATACACAGAACATACTGGAGGATAGCATACTGTTTATACACAGAACATACTGGAGGATAGCATACTGTTTATACACGGAACATACTGGAGGATAGCATGCTGTTTATACACAGAACATACTGGAGGATAGCATACTGTTTATACACAGAACATACTGGAGGATAGCATACTGTTTATACACAGAACATTCTGGAGGATAGCATACTGTTTATACACAGAACATACTGAAGGATAGCATACTGTTTATACACAGAACATACTGGAGGATAGCATGCTGTTTATACACAGAACATACTGGAGGATAGCATGCTGTTTATACACAGAACATACTGGAGGATAGCATACTGTTTATACACAGAACATACTGGAGGATAGCATGCTGTTTATACACAGAACATACTGGAGGATAGCATACTGTTAATACACAGAACATACTGGAGGATAGCATGCTGTTTATACACAGAACATACTGGAGGATAGCATACTGTTTATACACAGAACATACTGGAGGATAGCATACTGTTTATACACAGAACATACTGGAGGATAGCATGCTGTTTATACACAGAACATACTGGAGGATAGCATGCTGTTTATACACAGAACATACTGGAGGATAGCATGCTGTTTATACACAGAACATACTGGAGGATAGCATACTGTTTATACACAGAACATACTGGAGGATAGCATACTGTTAATACACAGAACATACTGGAGGATAGCATACTGTTTATACACAGAACATACTGGAGGATAGCATACTGTTTATACACAGAACATACTGGAGGATAGCATACTGTTAATACACAGAACATACTGGAGGATAGCATGCTGTTTATACACAGAACATACTGGAGGATAGCATGCTGTTTATACACAGAACATACTGGAGGATAGCATACTGTTTATACACGGAACATTCTGGAGGATAGCATACTGTTTATACACAGAACATACTGGAGGATAGCATACTGTTTATACACAGAACATACTGGAGGATAGCATACTGTTTATACACAGAACATACTGGAGGATAGCATACTGTTTATACACAGAACATACTGGAGGATAGCATGCTGTTTATACACAGAACATACTGGAGGATAGCATACTGTTTATACACAGAACATACTGGAGGATAGCATACTGTTAATACACAGAACATACTGGAGGATAGCATACTGTTAATACACAGAACATACTGGAGGATAGCATGCTGTTTATACACAGAACATACTGGAGGATAGCATACTGTTTATACACAGAACATACTGGAGGATAGCATGCTGTTTATACACAGAACATACTGAACATGTAGGCACACATCTAACTATTCCTCATTGAAATAGATAACACAATGTTAGCATGTTACATTCCATTAGGATAAATACTTCCTGCTCTGCTTTAAGAGACACAACAGCAGTCCTACCCGAGGCCGTAGTGCTTCACTCCCAGCTCTGCTCACATTCAGCCTTCCACAATAACACCTGCTTCACCAGATCATCAAGACCTGGATGATTGGTTTATTGGCTGACTCAGGTGTTATAGTGCTGGGTTGGAACAACATCCTGCTCACCCTTGGTCTCCCTTAGGCACTGGTACCCTAAAGGTATTCTCTCTCCCTCCATTCACGCCAACCCTTACCTTACTGCTCTCTCTGTATCTCTCTCTCTCCCTCCATACCAACCTCTCGCCCTCCAGTGCCCACACTCACCTGTTACAGTCGACGTGCAGGACCACGTGGGAGACACTGACGGCCACAGACAGCTTGTGCCAGCGGTCGTCTGCCAGGGAGTAGGGGAACACCTCAGTGTGTTCCCGCTGGTCCCTGGTACGGTAGTGGAGACGGATCTCATTACGTTGCCCACTGCTCTCCAACTCCAGATACCTGGATAACAGACACAAAGTAAATACTGAATCTATTAGTATCTGTTAGATGGCTGATGCCTGAGAAGGTAATTGTTGATGGCTGAGAGGTAATGGCTGATGCCTGATAGGTGCTGAAACTACTATCTTCCTGTGTTACAACGTGTCATCATTCCGACACAATTTAATTTAATTTTATACCTTTATTTAACTAGGCAAGTCAGTTAAGAACAAATTCTTATTTACAATGACGGCCTACACCAGCCAAACCCGGATGACACTGGGCCAATTGTGCACTGCCATATGGGACTCCCAATCACGGCCGGTTGTGATACAGCCTGGAATCGAACCAGGGGGTCTGTAGTGAGCACTGAGCACTGAGATGCAGTGTCTTAGACCGCTGTGCCACTCGGGAGCCCAATAAAAAGGGGGACTGAAAAGCTGCAGTGAGAAAGCTGCAAACACATTGAACAAATAAATCAACAGTAGTTGCTGTACTCTTAAAACTGCAGGGACTAAAGTTGAAAACACTTCCAAGAAAGAAATCCTCAATTACAGAGGAGTTTACAGAGTAGTGCTGCATTTGTAGATTTCTCTCGAAAGTTAGACTAATGAGGCTGCTGCTGATGGGGCTGACACATACTGTATACTGTCTCTGAGAGGAGAGGGAGGGAGAAGAGAGGGAGGGAGGGAGGAAGGTGGAGGGGGAGAGAGGGAAAGAGAGAGGGGGGAGAGAGCGAGAGGCAGGTAGAGGCAGAGTACTCTATAGAGAATAGCTGAGGCTCCACAGACCATAGCCTAGAGCCCTCCCTCTCTCCCTGCCTGCCTGCAGTCTGCCAGTCTGGCCTGGGCAAGGAGAAGAGGGGAGGGGAGGAGAGGAGAGGAGAGGAGAGGAGAGGAGAGGAGAGGAGAGAGGTATAGGAGAGGAGAGTTGAGAGGACGGATAGGACATGAGATGGAGGACTGAGCATGAGTTGATTCGCGGAAGTCGTCGCGGATCTGAGGAGTGCACTTGCCCAAGTGTTTCACCCTTAGCTGCCTCCAACAGAGTCACATCAATCAGCAGAGTATTCAGCATTCTGATTAGAACACTCAGCCACAGTATTCACCTTTCTGATTACAACACTCAGCCAGAGTATTCAGCATTCTGATTAGAACACTCAGCCACAGTATTTACCTTTCTGATTACAACACCCAGCCAGAGTATTCATCTCTCTGATTAGAACATCCAGCCAGAGTATTCATCTCTCTGATTAGATCACCCAGCCAGAGTATTCATCTCTCTGATTAGAACATCCAGCCAGAGTATTCATCTCTCTGATTAGAACATCCAGCCAGAGTATTCATCTCTCTGATTAGAACACCCAGCCAGAGTATTCATCTCTCTGATTAGAACACCCAGCCAGAGTATTCATCTCTCTGATTCGAGACACACCCAGGCCAGAGTATTCATCTCTCGGATTAGAACACCCAGCCAGAAGTATTCATCGCTCTTGATTAGAACACCCAGCCCAGAAGTATTAATCTCATCTGATTAGAACACCCCAGACCATAGGAAGTCAGCTCAACTGATTAGAACACCCACCAGATTATTCACACGCTGATTAGAACAACCCTGGCCAGAGTATTCATCTCTCTGATTAGAACACCCAGCAGAGTAATTCATCTCCCGGATTAGAACACCCAGCCAGAGTATTCATCTCTCTGGTTAGAACACCCCAGCCAGAGTATTCACTCTCCTGATTAGAACACCCAGCCAGAGTATTCAATCTCTCTGATTAGGAACACCCTAGCCGAGAGTATTCAGCTCTCTGATTAGAACATCCAGCCAGAGTATGCATCTTCTCTGATTAGATCACCCAGCCAGAGTATTCATCTCTCTGATTAGAACATCCAGCCAGAGTATTCATCTCTCTGATTAGAACATCCAGCCAGAGTATTCATCTCTCTGATTAGAACACCCAGCCAGAGTATTCATCTCTCTGATTAGAACACCCAGCCAGAGTATTCATCGCTCTGATTAGAACACCCAGCCAGAGTATTAATCTCTCTGATTAGAACACCCAGCCAGAGTATTAATCTCCCTGATTAGAACACCCAGCCAGAGTATTCATCCCTCTGATTAGAACACCCTGCCAGAGTATTCATCTCTCTGATTAGAACACCCAGCCAGATTATTCATCTCTCTGATTAGAACACCCAGCCAGTCTCCTCTCAACCTGGTCTATCTCTCTCACCAGACTGATAGAGCTAAAGGTACATCTGCACCGACATCACAATCTCCTAGGTTGGGTGGAAATGGCAACATAGACTCCAAATCTGATAGCACTCGGAGAGTTAGTGTGGGACAGACACACACACACACACACACACACACACACACACACAGAGACACACACACACACACACACACACACTCATTTTACTATCCTCTCACACACACTACTATCCTCTGCAACTTCCTCATCGCTTGGTTACATACACAATCCTATCACCGCAGCTGCTGTAATCCACATCTTAAATGTGTGTGTGTGTGTGTGTGTGTGTTTGGATGTGAGTTGCATGTGCACTCCCTTATCACTCTGCTTCCTTATGGTTAGTCACATCAAACCAATCCAGCTGCAGCAAGACATTCTACTAGGATTTAATGTGTCTGTCTGGCTGTCTGTCTGTCTGACTGTCTGACTGTCTGGCTGTCTGTCTGGCTGTCTGGCTGTCTGTCTGGCTGTCTGGCTGTCTGTCTGGCTGTTTGGCTCTTTGTCTGACTGTCTGGCTGTCTGGCTGACTGACTCATCCATCTAGAGACTGGACTGAGTAAGGAATTCAAACTTAATTAGAGGTGTTTGTGTGTGTGTGTGTGTGGGTGTGTGTGTGTGTGTGTGTGTGTGTGTGTGTGTGTGTGTGTGTGTGTGTGTGTGTGTGTGTGTGTGTGTGTGTGTGTGTGTGTGTGTGTGTGTGTGTGTGTGTGTGTGTTGGCATGTGTGCCTGCGTGTGTGTATGTTGATTAGGCACTGATCTGTGAGATAAAGGAAGATGACAGGTTGACTGTGACCTTAGAGGCCATGTCATCAATACTGTGTCTGGAGGGAGAAAATGTCACAGGTCTTTCTCCAACACTGTTTACCCTCTGCAGGAAGGACTAGAAGGATGGAGGGATGGAGGGATGGATGAACGGATAGATTGAAGCCATTACATAAATGATTGGAAGAAAGAGAGAACGATGGAAGGATAGAGGGATGGAAGGGGGATGGATTGAAGCCCACTACAAAAAGGACAGAGGAAAATCAGAAGGATAGCGGGATGGAGTGCTCCAACTGAAGAAAGGACAAGCTGCTTCACATTGATTTATTTTTCACATTTAAGATTAAAGAAAATGAAAAAAAATCCATATAAAGTCGTCCTTGGAGGTCGTAACAATGAAAACAGGGCTAAATCGTAATCTGACTGGCCGTGATTGTTTGACCTAAAATGGACTGTCTTCAAGACAACAACAGAGCCCAGGCAGTGAAGTGCTAATACTACTGTTCAAATGACCTCATGAAATCCATGCCAAAATCCCACAAAATAAAAACAATAGCAGGCTGAACTTTATACAATGACACTGGGGAAATCTTGACAGATAGTACACAGTGTAAACTGTATAACTAGTTGGTGTATGTTAGCATTGTACTGCCTCTACCCGAGTCCCGGACTTTGGAGGTTAGGCTCTTGCCTCTTTATTACATATGGAGTCCAGTGGTGGCTGGCGGCACTTTAAATGGGGAGGACTGGCTCATAGTAATGTCTGGAACGGAATTAATGGAATGGTTTCCATGTGTTTGATACCATTCCATTCACTCCATTCCATCCATTATTATGAGCCATCCTCCCTTCACCAGCCTCCTCTGATGGAGTCCCCCTTCAGCTGTTTTTACTGACTACTGTATAAAACAGCCAGTGTGCTAGCTTAGCATGTAGCGCTGCCTCCCTGAACCAGCCTCTGACTGGGCTTGAACCAGGGTCCTCTATCTTGTCTCTGACTGGGCTTGAACCAGGGTCCTCTATCTTGTCTCTGACTGGGCTTGAACCAGGGTTCTCTATAGTGCCTCTGACTGGGCTTGAACCAGGGTTCTCTATAGTGTCTCTGACTGGGCTTGAACCAGGGCCTCTATCTTGTCTCTGACTGGGCTTGAACCAGGGTTCTCTATAGTGCCTCTGACTGGGCTTGAACCAGGGTCCTCTACCTTGTCTCTGACTGGGCTTGAACCAGGGCCTCTATCTTGTCTCTGACTGGGCTTGAACCAGGGTCCTCTATCTTGTCTCTGACTGGGCTTGAACCAGGGTCCTCTATAGTGCCTCTGACTGGGCTTGAACCAGGGTCCTCTATAGTGTCTCTGACTGGGCTTGAACCAGGGTCCTCTATAGTGTCTCTGACTGGGCTTGAACCAGGGTCCTCTACCTTGTCTCACTGGGCTTGAACCAGGGTCCTCACTTGTCTCTCACTGGGCTTGAACCAGGGTCCTCTATCTTGTCTCTGACGGGGCTTGAACCAGGGTCCTCTATCTTGTCTCTGACTGGGTTTGAACCAGGGTCCTCTATCTTGTCTCTGACTGGGCTTGAACCAGGGTTCTCTATAGTGCCTCTGACTGGGCTTGACCTAGGGTCCTCTATCTTGTCTCTGACTGGGTTTGAACCAGGTTCCTCTATCTTGTCTCTGACTGGGCTTGAACCAGGGTTCTCTATAGTGCCTCTGACTGGGCTTGAACCAGGGTTCTCTATAGTGTCTCTGACTGGGCTTGAACCAGGGTCCTCTATCTTGTCTCTGACTGGGCTTCAACCAGGTCCTCTACCTTGTCTCACTGGGCTTGAACCAGGTCCTCTACCTTGTCTCACTGGGCTTGAACCAGGGTCGTCTACCTCGCAAACACAAGTGGCCGGTTTGAGCTATAGAAAAGGATCCAATTCGATTGCACCATTGGCGACATTTCAAGCTAGCTGTGGAGTGCGTTTATGGCACGTTCTATCTCCATTACATAACAGCACACAAATGGTTTCTAAGTCCAGATGTGTGTCTTCCTGTGTTCTGCATGGTGTATGGAGAGGACTATGTCTTCCTGTGTTCTGCATGGTGTATGGAGAGGACTGTGTCTTCCTGTGTTCTGCATGGTGTATGGAGAGGACTGTGTCTTCCTGTGTTCTGCATGGTGTACGGAGATGACTGTGTCTTCCTGTGTTCTGCATGGTGTATGGAGAGGACTGTGTCTTCCTGTGTTCTGCATGGTGTATGGAGAGGACTGTCTTCCTGCGTTCTGCATGGTGTATGGAGAGGACTGTGTCTTACCTGTGCTCTGCATGGTGTATGGAGAGGACTGTGTCTTACCAGTGCTCTGCAAAGCAAATGGAGAGGACTGTGTCTTACCTGTGCTCTGCATGGTGTATGGAGAGCAATACGCCAGAGTTGAGTCTCTCCTGCTTCAGAGTGGCCAGCACAGTGAACTCTGTCCTGTCTCTCAGCTTCTGGAGCATCACCTCTGCTACATCCTCCTTCACCCTCACGTTCCTCCACGAGTCTGAGGAGAGAGAGAGAGAGAGAGAGAGAGAGAGAGAGAGAGACAGAGAGAGAGAGACAGAGACAGAGAGAGAGAGATCTCTGAATCTTAGTGGTGTTGGCAACAATGAAACATCAAGCGCTGTAGTTGAAACAGGTGCTAATATTAGAGTAGCTGTATATATAAAAAAATATTATCAAAATCCAGAAAAGAGCCGTTAAATTCTATAACCACTTAAAAGGAAGCGATTCCCAAACCTTCCATAACAAAGCCATCACCTACAGAGAGATGAACTTGGAGAAGAGTCCCCTAAGTAAGCTTGTCCTGGGGCTCTGTTCACAAACACAAACAGACCCCACACAGCCCCAGGACAACAACAACAACAACACAACTAGACCCAACCAAATCATGAGAAAACAAAAAGAGAATTACATGACACATTGGAAAGAACAAACAAAAAAACAGAGCAAACTAGAATGCTATTTGGCCCTAAACGTAGAGTACACAGTGGCAGAATACCTGACCACTGTGACTGACCCAAACTTAAGGAAAGCTTTGACTATGTACAGACTCAGTGAGCATAGTCTTGCTATTGAGAAAGGCCGCCGTAGGCAGACCTGGCTCTCAAGAGAAGACAGGCTATGTGCACACTGCCCACAAAATGAGGTGGAAACTGAGCTGCACTTCCTAACCTCCTGCCAAATGTATGACCATATTAGAGACACATATTTCCCTCAGATTACAGCGATCCACAAAGAATTCGAAAACAAACCCAATTTTGATAAACTCCCTTATCTACTGGGTGAAAAACCACAGTGTGCCATCACAGCTGCAAGATTTGTGACCTGTTGCCACAAGAAAAGGGCAACCAGTGAAGAACAAACACCATTGTAAATACAACCCATATTTATGTTTATTTATTTTCCCATTTGTACTTTAACTATTTGCACATTGTTACAACACTGTATATATACATAATATGACATTTGAAATGTCTTTATTCTTTTGAAACTTCTGAGTGTAATGTTTACTGTTAATATTTATTGTTTATTTCACTTTTGTTTACTATCTACTTCACTTGCTTTGGCAATGTTAACACACGTTTCCCATGCCAATAAAGCCCTTAAATTGAATTGAATTGAAATTGAATTGAGAGAGACAGACACAGAGAGAGAGAGAGAGACAGACACAGAGAGAGAGAGAGAGAGAGAGAGAGAGAGAGAGAGAGAGAGAGAGAGAGAGAGAGAGAGAGAGAGAGAGAGAGAGAGAGAGAGAGAGAGACAGAGATAGAGAGAGATATATGATATGAGAGAGATGAGAGAGAGAGAGAGAGATAGAGACCTACAGGAGGACATAGATATTAGGATAGAGATAGATATATATAGATAGATATAGACAGATATATATAATACAGATATAGAGATATCTCTTAATCTTAGTGGTGTTGGCAACAATGAAACATCAAGCGCTGTAGTTGAAACAGGTGCTAATATTAGAGTAGCTGTATAAATGTAATGGCTGGGGGTACCGGAGGAGAGATTTAGGACACATTGCATTATGCAATACAGGTTATTCAACAACATATGTCTGAGTGTACACTCTAGTCCAGGGGTATTCAACACTTACCCTACGACGTCCGGAGCCTTCTGGTTTTCTGTTCTACCTGATAATTAATTGCACAAACCTGGTGTCCCAGGTCTAAATCAGCCCTGATTAGAGGGGAACAATGAAGAAATGCAGTGGAACTGGCTTTGAGGTCCACAGCTGAGTTTGAGGGCTCTAGAGAACTGTTTCAGATGGTGTGTCTGGACCTGGGACCCATAGGGGACTCATAGACAGGTCAGCTTGGGTCTGGGCTGAAGATTGGTCTGTGGCTGGGAACATGTTTTTTTTTTTTTAGTGGGGCTCCAAAGGAAATCCCCACTGGGCACAGACGTCAATTCTACGTCTAGTTTTGATTCACATTTGGTTGAGTTATCAACTAACGTGAATTCAATGTCAAATCAACCAAAATTAACCCTGTCATTGGATTTAGGGTTAAAAGTTGGGTAAAGAAAGTTGATGACTTTTTGCAAATCCAATCAGTTTTCCATGTTGATTCAACGTCATCACATTGAATGTTTTGGTTGAAATGAGGTGGAAACAACTTGATTCCATCATCACTCACAGGGACAGAGGAGTTATACTGTATGTTTCTGATGGAGACTGAAACCATCATCACTCACAGGGACAGAGGAGTTATACTGTAAGTATGTCCCCAGTTTTAGAGCTGTTGCTATGCTTGTTAATTAGTGTGATGTTAAATCATTTCACCTATTTGTTGAATATGGGAACAGACAACAGAGTGCATCTGTTGAGGGCGTGCGTGCACTTGTTGAGTAAGGTCACATGGTTGCTACCCTTTGAGCGGGCGCTCATGTCAATAAACCGTCTATTCGAGATGCTATCCTGTACACTGCCGTGTTCCTTATTCAAGAGGAACAGAAACCCTGCTCCCTTTAATACAACACTTATCTTCCAGTTTATCTACAGAGAGAGTGAGAGAAGGGGTTGAAACAATGGCAGCATCCTGATCTCTGGCTGCCTTTGTTCTCCCTCAGCCAAACCTACAGTATCTGTCCATCCTTCCATCCCCCTATCCTCTCCTCCATCCCTCCATCCCCCCATCCTCTCCTCCATCCTTCCACCCCTCTATCCTCTATCCTCTCCTCTATCCCTCCATCCCCCCAGCCTCTCCTCAGACGTCTACGCTCATTTGATGGAACCATCAATAAGAGATGTAGGGAGTGTGTGTGTGTGTGTGTGTGGGGGGGGGGGGGGGGGGGCATAAATACACCATCTACAGCTAGTGAGAATAGCTTTAACATAACTGGAGAGAAAACAATGTTGTCTATATGTTCCATAGATACAGTATATACTACCATAGATACAGTATATACTACCATAGATACAGTATATACTACCATAGATACAGTACCATAGATACAGTATGTACTACCATAGATACAGTGTATACTACCATAGAGACAGTATGTACTACCATAGATATAGTATATACTACCATAGATACAGTATGTACTACCATAGATACTGTCACGCCCTGGCTCTGGGGACTCTTTAATGTTGAGCCAGGGTGTTAGTTTCTATGTTTTGTGTTTCTATGTTGGCCGGGGTGGTTCTCAATCAGAGGCAACGTGAATCAGCTGTTGCTTGTTGTCTCTGATTGGGAACCATACTTAGGTAGTCGTTGGGCATTTGTGTGGTGTGGTATCTTGTTCCGTGTAGGTTTGTGTTGGTGAACCTGTGGACTTCACGTATCGTTTGTTGTTTTTGTTCGTGTGTTGTACATCTAATAAATCATGTACGCTTATCACGCTGCGCCTTGGTCCACTACTTTTGATGATCGTGACAGATACAGTATATACTACCATAGATACAGTATATACTACCATAGATACAGTACCATAGATACAGTATATACTACCATAGATACAGTATATACTACCATAGATATAGTATATACTACCATAGATACAGTATGTACTACCATAGATACAGTATATACTACCATAGATACAGTATATACTACCATAGATACAGTACCATAGATACAGTATATACTACCATAGATACAGTATGTACTACCATATATATAGTATATACTACCATAGATACAGTATGTACTACCATAGATACAGTATATACTACCATAGATACAGTATATACTACCATAGATACAGTATATACTACCATAGATACAGTATGTACTACCATAGATATAGTATATACTACCATAGATACAGTATGTACTACCATAGATACAGTATATACTACCATAGATACAGTATATACTACCATAGATATAGTATATACTACCATAGATACAGTATGTACTACCATAGATACAGTATATACTACCATAGATACAGTATGTACTACCATAGATACAGTTATACTACCATAGATACAGTATATACTACCATAGATACAGTATATACTACCATAGATACAGTATGTACTACCATAGATACAGTTATACTACCATAGATACAGTAGGTACTCCCAAATGATACAGTATATCCTTTAAAAACCAGTATGTACTCCATAGATCCCGTTATACCCCCTGTCCCGTACCCCCCCCCCGGATCCAGTTTACTTCCCATAGTTCCCGTTGTACCCCCCCTGTCCATTTTATTCCCCTGGGTCCCGTTGTCCTCCCATGATGCAAGAAAAAATCTAGATACGTAAAAACCCCATAGTGCAGAAACCCAAAAGTCATATGTATTACCAAAATACAGAATTACTCCCAAAGGGGAACATTTAACTCCCATAGATACAGAAATGAAATACCTTTAGATCAGTATGTTACCATAGAACAGGACCAAAAAAAGGGAATTTTTTTTATACCATAGATACGGGTAGATACACCATAGTTTCCCAGTTTTAAAAAAACCCCAGATACAGTAATGTATTTCCACTTTAAGAAACATGTGAAAAAGGGGATTTTTAGAGGGGGGACATGAAACTACAGTTGATCGTTTACGTCATTTTTTAAACTCAACTGAAAAAAATAACTGTGTGAACCCACATAGCTGATGAGGACATTTTAGATGATTGTAGTGGTCGGGGGGGGGGGTTTGCTTTTCTAAAACAGCAGTAACAGGGGGGGTAACATGAAACCCTTTTGAGGAGGAAAAACCCAAAAATTCTCTCTTTTGGGTCTCCCCCCCTCCATTATCATCGGGAAAAAAAGACAGAAAAGAACAAAAGAGAAAAAGAAAATTTTCAGGTTTCCCTTTTCTATAACAATACTTTTAAACACCCCAGGTCTGCCCTTAATTGACAAAGTGCCAAAGGGAGTGGTTGGGGGGGTGGGGGGGGTTTCTTGGGGAAACCATTATCCCCCACAACACGAATTAAACTCTCAAAACAACAGTATTTAGTAGACGCAAGGGGGGGGCTCTTTCCCAAAATAATTCAAGGCATTCAATTTTTAAAATAAAACCCCACAGAAGAAAATGCAATTAAAACAAATTAGAAATTAGAGGGGGGTACGGCCCTCAAGCGGAAAAAATGTGGGTAGTCGATTGAAAATAAACAGCAGGTCTGGGACCTTAAATTTTGGGCATCCCCACTATGTAAAAAATTCCCAAAACAGTAAGATTTAACTATGCCCAAACCCTTTAAACCGGGAAACAGGGAAAATTTGGAAATTTTGGGTGACCATTTTACAGTTGTAAATTTTTTTTGATCCTCTTTGTCCCCGGAAATTTTTCCGTGGCAGAAAAAAAAAAATCCCAAAAGGGGAGTATATTCAAGGATTAAAAAGGTTCTAAATTTTGGGTTAATTTTCCATTTTTAAAAATGTCATACTTGATTTATCCTAAAAAAAAAAGGAAAAACCCCTACAAAAAATGTATATTTTTTCCTAACAAGATTTTAAAAAAACAGGATTTTTTTCATGCTTTTTGGGGAAAACGGGAAAAAATTTTTAAGTTAGAAAATAGTGGGTTCTCAGGAAGGGTTGGAAATTGTTAACCCCCCGCCCCTTTGGGTTCCAATAGGGGGAAAGAAGGCCCCAATTTGGGGAAAGGGAAAAAAATTTTTTCCCCCCCTTAAAATCTTCCCCAAATAACTTGGCAAATGGTTGGGGGTTGGTTTTTTAAAATTTACCCCCATGGGGTTTTTTGGAAACACACAAAAAACCCCCACCAAAAGGAAAAAAACGGGGACCCCTCCCCCTTCCTTTTTTTTTACAAAACCCAATTCCCCTTGAAAAAGGGAAAAAAACTGTTTTCCCCCGGGAAAAAAGGGTGTTTTGTTTAAGGGTTGGATATAGATCCCAACCCCCCCTTTTTAGGTGCCACAGAGACAAAAAGTAATAAGAGTTCCAAAAAAGACTTCAGGCCTTTGGATTTTGGCAAAAAGTTAAAGGGATTTCCAAAAGGTTCAATTCCGGCCCCCCAAAAAACCCTTTCCAAATCCCCCTCCCCCATTTTTAACCCCCCTGGGGGCCCCCCCCTTTTTTTAACCCCTATAATTGTCCCGCGGGAAAACCCAAAAAGGGGGAAAAGAAAAAGGAAGCCGGAGGCTGGGAAGGAGCCCCCCCAAAAAGCAGAGAGAGCCCCGAAAAGCGAGATTGTTTGCCCCTTCCCCAGCCCCCGGTTTTTAGAATTTACCGCCAAACGCCGCCGTTTAAAAGTTTTTAAAAGGGGCAGCCGGCCCGGGAATTTTGGGGGGCCCCGGGGAAGAAAAAAAAAACGGGGGAGGGGGAAAAGAGAGGGACCTCGGGGGGGCGGGGGATAGCTTTTTTTCTCTCTTTTCTGATTTTCCTTCTCTTTTCTATCTCGCCTCTTTTTCTGAAAATCGCCTCTCTCCCTTTTTTTGGGGTTCTTTCCGGGCTAAACCTGGCCCTCTTTTAGCCTTTTTCTGTCTTGCGGGTATTAAACCACACCCCGGGTTGGACAACTATAAAAATTTAAACACACACACACACACACTCACACTGGTGCCAGCCTGCCTCCATCATCACAATACTAGTTAGTTATCTCCCTGAGCAAGCATAACACCATAAATAAACCACAGCATCAACCCTGGACACAGAGAAAGATCACATTTAGATGATCAATGAGAAGGAAATGCTGCCTTGTGCTTTTATCAAGTTTGGGGTGTAAAAGTTTGACCAGTAAAGTCATTACATGATATATCATTAAAGTTAAAGATACAGGTACATGCCATGGATTTTGTCACAGGAACCGAACGTGTGTGTGTGTGTGTGTGTGTGTGTGTGTGCGTGTGTGTGTGTGTGTGCGTATGTGTGTGCCTATTTACAGTTTTTCTCAATTGCTAAAACACTAAACCCTATTGTCTGAACCAAATGCTCAGTTGCCTGAACCCACTGATTGAATCAATCACTCTTTTGGCAAAACCATAAGCACTTTTCACCTGTTTAGACATAACTTGCCAACACATTTTCATTGTGATGCACCCGTGCTGCATAATGGTGAGCACAGGTGACAAAAGTCAAACACAATTAGAGCACAGGTGTCACCACTTGAACACAACAACTCAAAATTGATCACACTTGTGGCTAATGATGTGAGGGAACATATACAGTAAGCCAGTTCAGAGAGCACTGGTTTGTGAGGCCCTACAATGGATAGAAATCTGAGAGGAAGAGTTCGTGTGAGAGGAGGTCGAGGTGGTCGAGGTGGTCGAGGTGGTCAGCGAAGACAAAGAACAGTAATATCTGATGAAATCAGAGCTACTGTGATTGACCTTGTTCTTGTCCATGGTATGAGCATGCGGGAGGCTGGACAAAGGGTACAACCAAACATCAGTAGATTCACTGTGTCCACCATAATCCGAAGATTTAGAGAAGAGAACAGGTAATTACCTTTTTTTGACATTATAGTACAGTTTGTGTAAATGTTGACAGCAATTACTGTATGACATACTATATACTGTACCACAGTATACTGTAAGTAAATATATGTTTCAGTACATCACTGTACCAATGTACTGTAGTATTGTAATGGAGGGTTGGTCTAACTGTTTGTAGGCCTAGTATTCCATGTATATTTTTTGTAACTCCATGTTCTCTTTTTGTAGAATTGAAAGACTGCCACATGGGGGTGGGAGGACAGGTATGTTCTCCCCACACCAAGAGACCCTAATTGTTGATATGGTCCATGAGAACAATGCCATTAAACTGAGCGAAATTCAGCAGAAGATCATTGTATCAACAGTGTCAGCCTCTCTACTGTTGATCGTGTCCTCAAGCGCAACAGACTGCGCATGAAACAGCTATACAGAGTGCCCTTTGATCGCAACTCAGACAGAGTCAAAGAGCAAAGATTCCAGTATGTACAGGTTGGCATATATCCAGACACATTCAATGTTGATTACTCTAAGTAGTGATTTACTGTAGTGGCCTAAATCACTTTTTCCGTATCACTTACAAAACTATATCTATTTCTACAGAGGGTTTTTCAACTGGATGCAATGGAAAGACCCCATCAATACATCTACATGGATGAAGCTGGGTTTAATCTCACCAAAAGGAGAAGGAGAGGCCGTAATGTGATTGGCCATCGGGCCATTGTTGGTGTTCCTGGGCAGCGTGGTGGCAATGTCACATTATGTGCTGCCATCAGCAATCATGGGGTTGTCCACCATCATGCCAACCATAAGCACTTTTCACCTGTTTAGACATAACTTGCCAACACATTTTCATTGTGATGCACCCGTGCTGCATAATGGTGAGCACAGGTGACAAAAGTCAAACACAATTAGAGCACAGGTGTCACCACTTGAACACAACAACTCAAAATTGATCACACTTGTGGCTAATGATGTGAGGGAACATATACAGTAAGCCAGTTCAGAGAGCACTGGTTTGTGAGGCCCTACAATGGATAGAAATCTGAGAGGAAGAGTTCGTGTGAGAGGTCGAGGTGGTCGAGGTGGTCGAGGTGGTCAGCGAAGACAAAGAACAGTAATATCTGATGAAATCAGAGCTACTGTGATTGACCATGTTCTTGTCCATGGTATGAGCATGCGGGAGGCTGGACAAAGGGTACAACCAAACATCAGTAGATTCACTGTGTCCACCATAATCCGAAGATTTAGAGAAGAGAACAGGTAATTACCTTTTTTTGACATTATAGTACAGTTTGTGTAAATGTTGACAGCAATTACTGTATGACATACTATATACTGTACCACAGTATACTGTAAGTAAATATATGTTTCAGTACATCACTGTACCAATGTACTGTAGTATTGTAATGGAGGGTTGGTCTAACTGTTTGTAGGCCTAGTATTCCATGTATATTTTTTGTAACTCCATGTTCTCTTTTTGTAGAATTGAAAGACTGCCACATGGGGGTGGGAGGACAGGTATGTTCTCCCCACACCAAGAGACCCTAATTGTTGATATGGTCCGTGAGAACAATGCCATTAAACTGAGCGAAATTCAGCAGAAGATCATTGTATCAACAGTGTCAGCCTCTCTACTGTTGATCGTGTCCTCAAGCGCAACAGACTGCGCATGAAACAGCTATACAGAGTGCCCTTTGATCGCAACTCAGACAGAGTCAAAGAGCAAAGATTCCAGTATGTACAGGTTGGCATATATCCAGACACATTCAATGTTGATTACTCTAAGTAGTGATTTACTGTAGTGGCCTAAATCACTTTTTCCGTATCACTTACAAAACTATATCTATTTCTACAGAGGGTTTTTCAACTGGATGCAATGGAAAGACCCCATCAATACATCTACATGGATGAAGCTGGGTTTAATCTCACCAAAAGGAGAAGGAGAGGCCGTAATGTGATTGGCCATCGGGCCATTGTTGGTGTTCCTGGGCAGCGTGGTGGCAATGTCACATTATGTGCTGCCATCAGCAATCATGGGGTTGTCCACCATCATGCCAACCTGGGGCCCTACAACACTCACCAGCTCCTCATTTTCCTCAATCACATGCGAGATGCTTTGTTAGGGCAGCAGGATGAGCATCCCATCTATGTTGTTGTTTGGGACAATGTGAGTTTTCACAGAGCCCTCCAGGTTAGAGAGTGGTACAATATGAACCAAGGTTTTATCAATCTTTGCCTTCCACCGTACTCCCCTTTCCTAAACCCCATTGAGGAATTCTTCTCCTCATGGCGGTGGAAGGTATATGAACGCCAACCTTACACCAGGGTAAATCTCCTGCAAGCCATGGGACTTGCCTGTGGTGACATAGGTGTGGAGGCATGCCAAGCCTGGATACGGCATGCCAGGGGTTTTTTCCCCCGTTGCCTGGCCAGACAAAATGTGGCCTGTGATGTGGATGAAGTCCTGTGGCCTGACCCAGTATGGAGACATGATGCTGTGGCTGAGTAATGCACTTATTTGTATATTTTTGTACTTTATTTTTACATGGGCTTACTGTACACAAGTGGCAAACGCATAAGATTTCTGTTTGTTTTTACAAGTGCTACATGTAAATGCACAAGATTTCTGTTTTGTCTTTTTGTACAAGTGCTAAATGCACAGGTTTTTTTTGTTTTGCAACATGCATTTAGCCTACAGTGAACAATAAACATTTATTTCTCCAGCTTCATGTCCTGAGCATTGTGTTTTCTATTTTTCTACGTAGTGTTTAGTGACTGTTCAGTAGTGTTTTTTATTTTGATTGACTCGGGGCACGATTTGACAACATAGTTCAGTTTTGAGCACAGATTGAACTGTTTTGAGGTGAAAGTTTGGTTTTGCAAGAAGATTCTGAGGTTTTGTGAATGTAGCTTGAAAATTGGGTTTTGTGTTCACAGTTAAGAGAAAATGAGAGCAGCTTTCAAGAAATGTGTCTTAGCAATCGAGAAAAACTGTAAATCAGTTGAATGATACATGACACGTAGCCATTACACAGGGAACAAGTGTCTCAACTCCAAATAGCGTTGAATTAAAGCAGGGGAGTGAACACTGCAGGTTTCTACAGCCTGGCAGAGAGACAGAGGTAGCGAGATAGAGAGAGAGAGAGATAGAGAGAGAGAGAGAGAGAGAGAGAGAAAGAGAGAGAGAGAGAGAGAGAGAGAGAGAGAGAGAGAGAGAGAGAGAGAGAGAGAGAGAGAGAGAAAGAGAGAGAGAACTGAGAAGACAGGATGACTCGTTTTTACAAAATGTCAACCTGTTTCAATCTCAAATGGTCAGATTAAACCAGATAATTCTTGTTCTGATGGGACATCTGATCTAAGTTATTACCTCTACCACATACTGATACACTTCTAATGTACCTCTCTGGAATACATCACTTCTAATGTACCTCTCTGGAATACATCACTTCTAATGTACCTCTCTGGGATACATCACTTCTAATGTACCTCTCTGGAATACATCACTCTCTGGGATACATCACTTCTAATGTACCTCTCTGGAATACATCACTTCTAATGTACCTCTCTGGAATACATCACTTCTAATGTACCTCTCTGGAATACATCACTTCTAATGTACCTCTCTGGAATACATCACTTCTAATGTACCTCTCTGGAATACATCACTTCTAATGTACCTCTCTGGGATACATCACTTCTAATGTACCTCTCTGGAATACATCACCTCTAATGTACCTCTCTGGAATACATCACTTCTAATGTACCTCTCTGGGATATATCACTTCTAATGTACCTCTCTGGAATATATCACTCTCTGGGATACATCACTTCTAATGTACCTCTCTGGAATACATCACCTCTAATGTACCTCTCTGAATACATCACTTCTAATGTACCTCTCTGGAATACATCACTTCTAATGTACCTCTCTGAAATACATCACATCTAATGTACCTCTCTGGAATACATCACTTCTAATGTACCTCTCTGGAATACATCACTTCTAATGTACCTGTCTGGGATACATCACTTCTAATGTACCTCTCTGGAATACATCACTTCTAATGTACCTCTCTGGAATACATCACTTCTAATGTACCTGTCTGGGATATATCACCTCTAATGTACCTCTCTGGAATACATCACTTCTAATGTACCTCTCTGGAATATATCACTTCTAATGTAACTCTCTGGAATACATCACCTCTAATGTACCTCTCTTGAATACATCATCTCTAATGTACCTCTCTGGAATACATCACTTCTAATGTACCTCTCTGGGATATATCACTTCTAATGTACCTCTCTGGAATACATCACTCTCTGGGATACATCACTTCTAATGTACCTCTCTGGAATACATCACCTCTAATGTACCTCTCTGGAATACATCACTTCTAATGTACCTCTCTGGAATACATCACTTCTAATATACCTCTCTGGGATACATCACTTCTAATGTACCTCTCTGGAATACATCACTTCTAATGTACCTCTCTGGAATACATCACTTCTAATGTACCTCTCTGGAATACATCACTTCTAATGTACCTCTCTGGAATACATCACCTCTAATGTACCTCTCTGGAATACATCACCTATAATGTACCTCTCTGGAATACACCACTTCTAATGTACCTCTCTGGTATATATCACTTCTAATGTCCCTCTCTGGAATACATCACTCTCTGGGATACATCACTTCTAATGTACCTCTCCGGAATACATCACTTCTAATGTACCTCTCTGGAATACATCACTTTTAATGTACCTCTCTGGAATACATCACTTCTAATGTACCTCTCTGGGATACATCACTTCTAATGTACCTCTCTGGAATACATCACTCTCTGGGATACATCACTTCTAATGTACCTCTCTGGGATATATCACTTCTAATGTACCTCTCTGGAATACATCACTTCTAATGTACCTCTCTGGGATATATCACTTCTAATGTACCTCTCTGGAATACATCACTTCTAATGTACCTCTCCAGAATACATCACTTCTAATGTACATTTCTCTGAAATACATCACTTCTAATGTACCTCTCTGGGATACATCACTTCTAATGTACCTCTCTGGAATACATCACCTCTAATGTACCTCTCTGGAATACATCACTTCTAATGTACCTCTCTGGAATACATCACTTCTAATGTACCTCTCTGGAATACATCACTTCTAATGTACCTCTCTGGAATACATCACTTCTAATGTACCTGTCTGGGATACATCACTTCTAATGTACCTCTCTGGAATACATCACTTCTAATGTACCTCTCTGGAATACATCACTTCTAATGTACCTGTCTGGGATATATCACTTCTAATGTACCTCTCTGGAATACATCACTTCTAATGTACCTCTCTGGAATACATCACTTCTAATGTACCTCTCTGGAATACATCACCTCTAATGTACCTCTCTGGAATACATAATCTCTAATGTACCTCTCTGGAATACATCACCTCTAATGTACCTCTCTGGAATACATCACTTCTAATGTACCTCTCTGGGATATATCACTTCTAATGTACCTCTCTGGAATACATCACTCTCTGGGATACATCACTTGTAATGTACCTCTCTGGAATACATCACCTCTAATGTACCTCTCTGGAATACATCACTTCTAATGTACCTCTCTGGAATACATCACTTCTAATGTACCTCTCTGGGATACATCACTTCTAATGTACCTCTCTGGAATACATCACTTCTAATGTCCCTCTCTGGAATACATCACTCTCTGGGATACATCACTTCTAATGTACCTCTCCGGAATACATCACTTCTAATGTACCTCTCTGGAATACATCACTTCTAATGTACCTCTCTGGAATACATCACTTCTAATGTACCTCTCTGGAATACATCACCTCTAATGTACCTCTCTGGAATACATCATCTCTAATGTACCTCTCTGGAATACATCACCTCTAATGTACCTCTCTGGAATACATCACTTCTAATGTACCTCTCTGGGATATATCACTTCTAATGTACCTCTCTGGAATACATCACTTCTAATGTAACTCTCTGGAATACATCACCTCTAATGTACCTCTCTGGAATACATCACTTCTAATGTACCTCTCTGGAATACATCACTTCTAATGTACCTCTCTGGGATACATCACATCTAATGTACCTCTCTGGAATACATCACTTCTAATGTACCTCTCTGGAATACATCACTTCTAATGTACCTCTCTGGAATACATCACTTCTAATGTACCTCTCTGGAATACATCACCTCTAATGTACCTCTCTGGAATACATCACCTATAATGTACCTCTCTGGAATACACCACTTCTAATGTACCTCTCTGGTATATATCACTTCTAATGTCCCTCTCTGGAATACATCACTCTCTGGGATACATCACTTCTAATGTACCTCTCCGGAATACATCACTTCTAATGTACCTCTCTGGAATACATCACTCCCAATGTACCTCTCTGGAATACATCACCTCTAATGTACCTCTCTGGAATACATCACTTCTAATGTACCTCTCTGGGATACATCACTTCTAATGTACCTCTCTGGAATACATCACTCTCTGGGATACATCACTTCTAATGTACCTCTCTGGAATACATCACTTCTAATGTAACTCTCTGGGATACATCACTTCTAATGTACCTCTCTGGAATACATCACTCTCTGGGATACATCACTTCTAATGTACCTCTCTGGGATATATCACTTCTAATGTACCTCTCTGGGATATATCACTTCTAATGTACCTCTCTGGAATACATCACTTCTAATGTACCTCTCCAGAATACATCACTTCTAATGTACATTTCTCTGAAATACATCACTTCTAATGTACCTCTCTGGGATACATCACTTCTAAAGTACCTATCTGGGATACATCACTTCTAATGTACCTCTCTGGAATACATCACCTCTAATGTACCTCTCTGGAATACATCACTTCTAATGTACCTCTCTGGGATACATCACTTCTAATGTACCTCTCTGGGATACATCACTTCTAATGGACCTCTCTGGAATACATCACTTCTAATGTACCTCTCTGGAATACATCACTTCTAATGTACCTCTCTGAAATATATCACTTCTAATGTACCTGTCTGGGATACATCACTTCTAGTGTACCTCTCTGGAATACATCACTTCTAATGTACCTCTCCGGAATACATCACTTCTAATGTACCTGTCTGGGATACATCACTTCTAATGTACCTCTCTGGAATACATCACTTCTAATGTACCTCTCTGGAATACATCACTTCTAATGTACCTCTCTGGAATACATCACTTCTAATGTACCTCTCTGGAATATATCACTTCTAATGTACCTCTCTGAAATACATCACTTCTAATGTACCTCTCTGGGATACATCACCTATAATGTACCTCTCTGGAATACACCACTTCTAATGTACCTCTCTGGTATATATCACTTCTAATGTCCCTCTCTGGAATACATCACTCTCTGGGATACATCACTTCTAATGTACCTCTCCGGAATACATCACTTCTAATGTACCTCTCTGGAATACATCACTTTTAATGTACCTCTCTGGAATACATCACTTCTAATGTAACTCTCTGGGATACATCACTTCTAATGTACCTCTCTGGAATACATCACTCTCTGGGATACATCACTTCTAATGTACCTCTCTGGGATATATCACTTCTAATGTACCTCTCTGGAATACATCACTTCTAATGTACCTCTCTGGGATATATCACTTCTAATGTACCTCTCTGGAATACATCACTTCTAATGTACCTCTCCAGAATACATCACTTCTAATGTACATTTCTCTGAAATACATCACTTCTAATGTACCTCTCTGGGATACATCACTTCTAATGTACCTCTCTGGAATACATCACCTCTAATGTACCTCTCTGGAATACATCACTTCTAATGTACCTCTCTGGAATACATCACTTCTAATGTACCTCTCTGGAATACATCACTTCTAATGTACCTCTCTGGAATACATCACTTCTAATGTACCTGTCTGGGATACATCACTTCTAATGTACCTCTCTGGAATACATCACTTCTAATGTACCTCTCTGGAATACATCACTTCTAATGTACCTGTCTGGGATATATCACTTCTAATGTACCTCTCTGGAATACATCACTTCTAATGTACCTCTCTGGAATACATCACTTCTAATGTACCTCTCTGGAATACATCACCTCTAATGTACCTCTCTGGAATACATAATCTCTAATGTACCTCTCTGGAATACATCACCTCTAATGTACCTCTCTGGAATACATCACTTCTAATGTACCTCTCTGGGATATATCACTTCTAATGTACCTCTCTGGAATACATCACTCTCTGGGATACATCACTTGTAATGTACCTCTCTGGAATACATCACCTCTAATGTACCTCTCTGGAATACATCACTTCTAATGTACCTCTCTGGAATACATCACTTCTAATGTACCTCTCTGGGATACATCACTTCTAATGTACCTCTCTGGAATACATAACTTCTAATGTCCCTCTCTGGAATACATCACTCTCTGGGATACATCACTTCTAATGTACCTCTCCGGAATACATCACTTCTAATGTACCTCTCTGGAATACATCACTTCTAATGTACCTCTCTGGAATACATCACTTCTAATGTACCTCTCTGGAATACATCACCTCTAATGTACCTCTCTGGAATACATCATCTCTAATGTACCTCTCTGGAATACATCACCTCTAATGTACCTCTCTGGAATACATCACTTCTAATGTACCTCTCTGGGATATATCACTTCTAATGTACCTCTCTGGAATACATCACTTCTAATGTAACTCTCTGGAATACATCACCTCTAATGTACCTCTCTGGAATACATCACTTCTAATGTACCTCTCTGGAATACATCACTTCTAATGTACCTCTCTGGGATACATCACATCTAATGTACCTCTCTGGAATACATCACTTCTAATGTACCTCTCTGGAATACATCACTTCTAATGTACCTCTCTGGAATACATCACTTCTAATGTACCTCTCTGGAATACATCACCTCTAATGTACCTCTCTGGAATACATCACCTATAATGTACCTCTCTGGAATACACCACTTCTAATGTACCTCTCTGGTATATATCACTTCTAATGTCCCTCTCTGGAATACATCACTCTCTGGGATACATCACTTCTAATGTACCTCTCCGGAATACATCACTTCTAATGTACCTCTCTGGAATACATCACTTCCAATGTACCTCTCTGGAATACATCACCTCTAATGTACCTCTCTGGAATACATCACTTCTAATGTACCTCTCTGGGATACATCACTTCTAATGTACCTCTCTGGAATACATCACTCTCTGGGATACATCACTTCTAATGTACCTCTCTGGAATACATCACTTCTAATGTAACTCTCTGGGATACATCACTTCTAATGTACCTCTCTGGAATACATCACTCTCTGGGATACATCACTTCTAATGTACCTCTCTGGGATATATCACTTCTAATGTACCTCTCTGGGATATATCACTTCTAATGTACCTCTCTGGAATACATCACTTCTAATGTACCTCTCCAGAATACATCACTTCTAATGTACATTTCTCTGAAATACATCACTTCTAATGTACCTCTCTGGGATACATCACTTCTAAAGTACCTATCTGGGATACATCACTTCTAATGTACCTCTCTGGAATACATCACCTCTAATGTACCTCTCTGGAATACATCACTTCTAATGTACCTCTCTGGGATACATCACTTCTAATGTACCTCTCTGGGATACATCACTTCTAATGGACCTCTCTGGAATACATCACTTCTAATGTACCTCTCTGGAATACATCACTTCTAATGTACCTCTCTGAAATATATCACTTCTAATGTACCTGTCTGGGATACATCACTTCTAGTGTACCTCTCTGGAATACATCACTTCTAATGTACCTCTCTGGAATACATCACTTCTAATGTACCTGTCTGGGATACATCACTTCTAATGTACCTCTCTGGAATACATCACTTCTAATGTACCTCTCTGGAATACATCACTTCTAATGTACCTCTCTGGAATACATCACTTCTAATGTACCTCTCTGGAATATATCACTTCTAATGTACCTCTCTGAAATACATCACTTATAATGTACCTCTCTGGGATACATCACTTCTAATGTACCTATCTGGGATACATCACTTCTAATGTACCTCTCTGGAATACATCACCTCTAATGTACCTCTCTGGAATACATCACTTCTAATGTACCTCTCTGGAATACATCACTTCTAATGTGCCTCTCTGGAATACATCACTTCTAATGTACCTCTCTGGAATACATCACTTCTAATGTACCTCTCTGGAATACATCACCTCTAATGTACCTCTCTGGAATACATCATCTCTAATGTACCTCTCTGGAATACATCACCTCTAATGTACCTCTCTGGAATACATCACCTCTAATGTACCTCTCTGGAATACATCACTTCTAATGTACCTCTCTGGGATATATCACTTCTAATGTACCTCTCTGGAATACATCACTCTCTGGGATACATCACTTCTAATGTACCTATCTGGGATACATCACTTCTAATGTACCTCTCTGGAATACATCACCTCTAATGTACCTCTCTGGAATACATCACTTCTAATGTACCTCTCTGGAATACATCACTTCTAATGTGCCTCTCTGGAATACATCACTTCTAATGTACCTCTCTGGAATACATCACTTCTAATGTACCTCTCTGGAATACATCACCTCTAATGTACCTCTCTGGAATACATCATCTCTAATGTACCTCTCTGGAATACATCACCTCTAATGTACCTCTCTGGAATACATCACCTCTAATGTACCTCTCTGGAATACATCACTTCTAATGTACCTCTCTGGGATATATCACTTCTAATGTACCTCTCTGGAATACATCACTCTCTGGGATACATCACTTCTAATGTACCTCTCTGGAATACATCACCTCTAAAGTACCTCTCTGGAATACATCACTTCTAATGTACCTCTCTGGAATACATCACTTCTAATGTACCTCTCTGGGATACATCACTTCTAATGTACCTCTCTGGAATACATCACTTCTAATGTACCTCTCTGGAATACATCACTTCTAATGTACCTCTCTGGAATACATCACCTCTAATGTACCTCTCTGGAATGCATCACCTATAATGTACCTCTCTGGAATACACCACTTCTAATGTACCTCTCTGGTATATATCACTTCTAATGTACCTCTCTGGAATACATCACTCTCTGGGATACATCACTTCTAATGTACCTCTCCGGAATACATCACTTCTAATGTACCTCTCTGGAATACATCACTTCTAATGTACCTCTCTGGAATACATCACCTCTAATGTACCTCTCTGGAATACATCACTTCTAATGTACCTCTCTGGGATACATCACTTCTAATGTACCTCTCTGGAATACATCACTCTCTGGGATACATCACTTATAATGTACCTCTCTGGGATATATCACTTCTAATGTACCTCTCTGGGATACATAATGATACATAACAAAATAGTGACTGAACTGTTTCCAACATATAGGCCTTTGATATCTGCTTCCTGTTATCCAATGCATCATGGGTATATCTTCTATGACTAATGTTGCTACCACTGTTAGGCCTCTTGCCCTTCTGTCTGGTTGGCACACAGAGCTTGGCAATGGGCAGAGGAGTGGCATCTCACGTGTGTGTGTGTGTTGCATTCACATACACACACACACACGTAGGACCGACAACACTACACTAACAGCATCCTGTCCTGCTGTGCTGCTGCAGATACAGTCTCTATTGGGGTGATGAGTAAGCAGCAACCTGATCGCTGCACTTAGAGAGAACAGAGAGAGCATCCCGTCAGCATAGAGAGGTATGGGTGGAGGTTCTTAATTGTATCACCCTGTTGCAAGAAATGTAAAACTTGTAGTGTATTTAAGGTTAAAAAAGGCTTCTGAAGTTTGTAATTTCCACTTTGAAATATCAGACATGATTTTCCCTGATGAAAAATGTATGAAGCCCTACGAAAATGTCAATTAATTATAATTCTAATGCTGCAGGATTATTTTTCTGCTGTAGCAAACTGGCTCAAATCAATATCCTACATCTGTACAGGGAGGGTTCACACTCACTCAGCAGGGTTGATGGGCACACTGACATTGATGTCATTCATATCCTATTCTTTAGCAGGTGTGTTGGGGGAGGGCACTGATCCATCTAATCCAATCATTCAGTAACAAATCCTCTTTAACCTCTGGATTCCATATATCTATGATGATGACTTTGAATTATCTCTATGAATGCATCAAGGGAACAGATGGGTTATTATTGTACACAATTTCTATAATAGGTGAATAGATGTAGTTGAGGGATATACCATAATGGGTTCCATCTAATCCTTGTGAAAGCCTAGAATTCTGGGAGAGAGGAGAGGAGAAGGGAGAACAGTGGTATGATGTTCCTGTATACACAGTGCCTTCAGAAAGTATTCATAACCGTTGACTCATTCCACATTTTGTTGTGTTACAGCCAAAATGGATTATACACACTTTTTTTCTCACCCATCTACACACAATACCCCATATTGACAAAGTGAAAATATGTTTTTAGACATTTTTGCTAATTTATTGCAAATGAAATACAGAAATATCTCAATTACATAAGTATTCACACCCCCGAGTCAATCCATGTTAGAATCACCTTTGGCAGCAAATACAGCTGATAGTCTTTCTGGGTAAGTCTCTAAGAGCTTTGCACACCTAGATTGTACAATATTTGCCAATTATTATTTTCAGAATTCTTCAAGCTCTCTCAGATTGGTTGTTGATCATTACTAGACAACGATTTTCAAGTCTTGCCATAGATTTTCAAGCAGAGTTAAGTCAAAACTTTAACTCGGCCACCCAGGAACATTTACTGTCTTCTTGGTAAGCAACTCCAGTGAATATTTGGCCTGTTTTAAGTTATTGTCCTGCTGAAAGGTTCATTCATCTCCCAGTGTCTGTTGGGAAGCAGACTGAACCAGGTTTTCCTCTAGGATTTTGCCTGTGCTTTGCTCCATTCTATTTCTTTTTTATCCTGAAAAACGCCTCAGTTCTTAACGATTACAAGCATACCCATAACATGATGCTGCCACCCCTATGCTTGAAATTATGGAGAGTGGTACTCAGTAATGTGTTGTATTGGATTTGCCCCAAACATAACACTTTGTATTCAAGACAAAAAGTTAATTGCTTTGCCACATTTTTTTGCAGTATTACTTTAGTGCCTTGTTGTAAACAAGGTGCATGTTTTGGAATATTTGTATTCTGTACAAGCTTCCTTCTTTTCACTCTGCCAATTAGTCTAGTATTGTGGAGTAACTACAATGTTGTCTTTGTGGTTGAATCTATGTTTGAAATTCACTGCTCGACTGAGGGACCTTACAGAAAATTGTATGTGTGGGGTACAGAGATGAGGTAATCATTCAAAAATCATGTTAAACACTATATTGCACACAGAGTGAGTCCATGCAACTTATTATGTGAGTTGTTCGGCACATTTGTACTCCTGAACTTATTTAGGCTTGCCATAACAAACGGGTTGAATACACCCATTCTGCCTTTCATTCTGATTCTCAAAGCCTCAACAAAGACATGGACTGGTACTGGTACTGGTACTGGTGATAAAAGGCCTACAAATCAAATCAAATGAATTTGTCACATGCGCCGAATACAACAGGTGTAAACCTTACGGTGAAATGCTTACTTACGAGCCCTTAACCAACAATGATGTTTTTTTAAAGTAAGTAAGAAACATTTGCTAAATAAACTAAAGGAAAAATAGTAACACAATAAAATAACAATAACAAGGCTATAAACAAGGGGTACCGGTACCGAGTCAATGTGCAGGGGTAAAGGTTAGTCGAGGTAATTCAGGTAATATGTACATGTAGGTCGGGGTAAAGTGACTATGCATATAATAAGCAGAGAGTAGCAGCTGCATATGTGAAGAGTGTGAAGGAATGTGTGTGTGTGTGTGTGTGTGTGTGTGTGTGTGTGTGTGTGTGTGTGTGTGTGTGTGTGTGTGTGTGTGTGTGTGTGTGGTTAGAGTCCAGTGAGTGTACATCGAGCCTGTGTAAGAGAGCCAGCGCAAAAACGAATAGATGCCTATTAAATGAATGATTTAAGCTTCGGCACAAAGGCAGAGAAACAGCCCTGTTTTCTGCTCTGCTAATTGTCGGCGCTAGCACACCACTCAATGGTGAATAGAGGGAGGGGGAATCTGCATCGCTTGCTCATCCAGAGCCACTGGAGCTCAGCTCAACACCCTCAGTCTGGAGACATCAGAGAGAGAAACTCACAGAAAGTCTGAATGAAAGAAACAGAGACTTTTGTGGAAGATGAAAAAAAATGATCCCCACACAAACACAGTTTGAAAAGTGAACTTTCTACAATTCTACACATTTTGCCATGGGGCAAAGAGAAAAATGTGCAGTGTTATAGCTAATCTCATGCTATTTTACACATTTTTCCATGAGACTGAGAGAAAATGTTGCTTTTTTAAAGATCATTTTCTGCAATTCTATACATATTTCCATGGGGCAGAGAGAAACATTTGCAGTTTCATAGCTAATCATGCTATTCTACACATTTTGCAATGAGGCTGAGCAGAAATGTTTCTTGTATCTTACAGATAATTTACTGTCATTCACCAAACAAATTGCCATGGCATATGACCTCTGGGGGTGTGTGTGGGGGGATGTGGTATGCCAGTGCCTACCAAACCTAAAACTCCAGACATGGGATTAGAAGTCGCAATATGGGAACAGCTGAATGGCCCGAATGAAATGCTTCTGTATGGGTTGGATTTCTATATTGGATCTTTGTTTTGCTGATCCACTTTTTGCAAAGGATAGGGATTAATAGTCTATAATTTATAGATTTAAACAATAATGTCGCTGCCAATAGTTCACTGCAGCCTGCTGGTGTTATCTATTATCGTCATAGGCCTAGGCTAACTTTAATGCTTTATCACGCTATGGGTGAAATGTCAAGACAAAACGTCCATCCTAGTAGTAGGCCTACTGATTGTAATTCAATAGGTTACCTGCTTTTTAACATGTGTGTAGACTATTTGAACTCAATGTCTTAAGACATAACAGAAGATTAGTCGCACGTTCAAACGTAAACAAGATCGAAGTACACAGAGGGAGGAATACATGGATATGGGTAAAATATAATTGTTGGGTCTTACCTTGTAAAAGAAAGGCTCTGCTCTCATTGTGGAACCCCTGAACTTGGAAAACTCCAGCGAACGACTCTCCCAACTTCAGTTCATCGAATACGTTGATGCGGAGGGCAGGGTCGACCCCAAAGCCTAGAGCTGGACGAGAGAGACCGGATAGAAAGAGTCCGGAAGCGGCAGAGATAGCGTTAGTTCAGCACCATGGACAGCGACCGGCAGTCCGACACGTTGGTGTGGACAAAGCGCAGCGGGCTACTGCTGCTATTTCATGATGTAATACTGCGAAACTTAGCCTACAAACCTTCATTCTGATAGGTTACAAATTCCTACACAGCCATAATGGTAAAAGGATTGTAAAACATTAAAATTAAGAAATACATTAATTCAGTTAGCAACTGAAACCACGTCATAGTAACATACTAAAATCAAAACATGACAGGTATAGGAAATCAGTCAACATAATTGCATAACAAAATGCGGACGCGTAGCTTACCTGGGAAGATGCCAAACATACATTGCAAAAATGAAAGTTTAAATAGTCCCATCATGAATGGAAAATAATCACAACAATGAGTCCATGCTTATCTGTCCACTTCCAAAAATACTGGTGGTGCTAAAATACCGGAGGCGATACGCATCAGTTAGAATAAAAACCACATGCGCGCAAAATTACTCATCATCCAATATTGACCGTCGTTCTTAGAACTTTTAAGACCAATTAGAAAGAAGGACTAAGATATCAAAATATTCCATTCAGCATTCGTGATGATTGAGAAGAGCGCGCTGAAGACAGGTGCAACATCATCACTATAGGGGCTGCTAGCTAGAGAGTGAGTGAGAGAAGGCTGGTATGTGGAGACTCATGGAAAGCGAAAGGATATCGTCTGTGCTCCTTTTTGCCCCCTTTTGGTCTACCATGGAACACAATCTAATAGATGAGACTGATTGCACTTCTGCCATCTGTCAGATGTATCAACATTTCCAAATGACTGTAAGAGAGTTGCATTTAACGACGTTTGATAGTCAATGATAGTAATTTAATCAGCTAATATTTCCAGCTGGGCGTTTTTCGTGATCCTTTGGCATGCTTAGCCTACTGCAAATGTGGTTTCAGTTTGTCAAAACAATCTTTAGAAAATAAAACATTTTCCCTTCAATATTAAAATGCATTTCAAGCTACATTCCACACACCACACCTTCAGCCAGTAGAGAGAAAACTCCCTGGGCCTCTAAACTATTAACAAACCATCACCATTAACATCATCTAAACCATTAACATCCACATTACCATTAACATCCTCTACTCCGTTAACATCCTCTAATCCATTAACGTCCTCTAAACCATTAACATCATCTAAAATATTAACATAATCTAATCCATTAACATCTCCATTACCATTAACATCCACTAATTCATTAACATCTTCTAAACCATTAACATCTCCATTACCATTACCATCCTCTAAACCAATAACATCCCTATTACCATTAACATCCTCTAACCCATTAACACCCTCTAAACCATTAACATCACCATTAACATCCACTAACTATTAACATCTCCATTACCATTAACATCCTCTAACCCATTAACATCACCATTACCTTTAACATCCACTAACTATTAACATTCCCATTACTATTAACATCATCTAACCCATTAACAGCCTCTAACCCATCAACACCCTCTAACCCATTAACATATTCAATACCATTAACATCCACTAATCCATTAACATCCTCTTATCCATTAACATCCTCTACTCCTTTAACATCCTCTAAACTATTAACATCCTCTAACCCATTAACATCCTCTCCTCCTTTAACATCCTCTAACCCATTAACATCCTCTTATCCATTAACATCCTCTAACCTGTTAACATCCTCTAACCCTTTAACATCCTCTAACCTGTTAACATCCTCTAATCCATTAACATCCTCTAATCCATTAGCATCGTCTAACTCATTAACTTCCTCTAACCTGTTAACATCCTCTAATCCAGTAACATTCTCTAACCTGTTAACATCCTCTAAGCCATTAACATCCTCTAACCTGTTAACATCCTCTAACCTGTTAACATCCTCTAACCTGTTAACATTCTCTAATCCATTAACATCCTCTAACCTGTTAACATCCTCTAACCTGTTAACATCCTCTAACCTGTTAACATTCTCTAATCCATTAACATCCTCTAACCTGTTAACATCCTCTAACCTGTTAACATCCTCTAACCTGTTAACATCCTCTAATCCATTAACATCCTCTAAACCATTAGCATCGTCTAACTCATTAACTTCCTCTAACCTGTTAACATCCTCTAAGCCATTAACATCCTCTAATCCATTAGCATCGTCTAACTCATTAACTTCCTCTAACCTGTTAACATCCTCTAAGCCATTAACATCCTCTAACCTGTTAACATCCTCTAATCCATTAACTTCCTCTAACCTGTTAACATCCTCTAACCCTTTAACATCCTCTAACCTGTTAACATCCTCTAATCCATTAACATCCTCTAACCTGTTAACATCCTCTAACCCTTTAACATCCTCTAATCCATTAACATCCTCTAACCTGTTAACATCCTCTAAGCCATTAACATCCTCTAAGCCAGCGTTTCCCAAACTCGGTCCTCGGGTCCCCAAGGGGTGCACGTTTTGCTTTTTCCCTAGCACTCCTAACACTACACAGCTGATTGATATAATCCAAGCTTGATGATGAGTTCATTTTTTGAATCAGCTGTGTAGTGCAAGGGCAAAAACTCAAAAAACCCGGCTCTTAGCCATTAACATCCTCTCAACTATTAACATCCTCTAACCCATTAACATCCTCTAACTCATTAACATCCTCTAACTCATTAACATCCTCTAACTCATTAACATCCCATTATCATTAACATCCTGTCCACCATTATCTGGTCAATTACTCTTAAAGAACAAATGCACACTCAGCAAGCTGGTCATTATGAACTGTAGTTAAAAGGTTAAAAGTACATGCTAGTCAGTAATCTGTCAACTCATTACAAACAAAACATTTTCTACCTAGAAGGAGGGGACCATTGCTGCAGTGTTGCCTGTAGCAACACACACACACACACACACACACACAAACAAACTGAGCCACATGTCACCAGGTGCCCTTGAGAATCTATTGAGGAGAACAGGTTGCCATGGAACCTGGGGGCTCATTAGCATATACATGAGGGTTAGATAATGACATGTGGGGTCACACTGAACCTTCGGCGCTCAGGGTTACAGAACCCTGGAGGCATCTACAGTGAGGGAAAAAAGTATTTGATCCCCTGCTGATTTTGTACGTTTGCCCACTGACAAAGACATGATCAGTCTATAATTTTAATGGTAGGTTTATTTGAACAGTGAGAGACAGAATAACAACAACAAAAATCCAGAAAAACGCATGTCAAAAATTGTATAAATTGATTTGCATTTTAATGAGGGAAATAAGTATTTGACCACCTATCAATCAGAAATATTTCTGACTCCCAGGTGTCTTTTATACAGGTAACAAGCTGAGATTAGGAGCACTCCCTTTAAGAGTGTGCTCCTAATCTCAGCTCAGTACCTGTATAAAAGACACCTGGGAGTCAGAAATCTTTCTGATTGAGAGGGGGTCAAATACTTTTTTCCCTCACTGTATCTCTCAACCTAGTCAGGGCTTGATGGACTATACAGTATAGAAACTTTATACAGTTCTGCAGTATGTTAAACTCTATACAGCTCTGCAGTATGTTAAAATCTATACAGCTCTGCAGTATGTTAAACTCTGTACAGCTCTGCAGTATGTTAAACTCTATACAGCTCTGCAGTATGTTAAACTCTATACAGCTCTGTAGCATGTTAAACTCTATACAGCTCTGCAGTATGTTAAACTCTATACAGCTCTGCAGTATATTAATGACTGAGTTTGGAGGTCTAGCAACAATATAGAATACAAGACAGTTTATACAAGAAAGGAGTGATATAATATGCATATGTATGTTAATGTCAGACTTATAGATCTACAGGTCTGCATGTAGGAGTGCTGTTCTATACATCTCTTTTATGGCAATGTCAGAGTTTCATCCGTATGAATGCAGTGTTGTGTTGCCAGTTGACGAGTTAGATGAATGATCCCCTGTAGTTAACGGAACCCAGTTCTGTCAGCTGACATTACAGCAGCCTCTGTTACCTGCTGATGAGTATTCACACGGCAACACAGGCACATTGAATTTTACACACACATACACACACGAACACACACACACGAATGCACACACACGAACGCACACACACACACACATGCACACACATATAGACACATGCACACACACAAAAATGCACAAAGCACGCACGCACACACAGTGGTGTAAAGTACTTAAGTAAACATCATTGAAAGTACAACTTAAGTAGTTTGTTGGGGTATCTGTACTTTAATATTTATATTTTTTGACTACTTTTACTTTTACTTCACTATATTCCTAAAGAAAATAATGTACTTTTTACTCTATTCATTTTCCCTGACACCCAAATGTACAGGTTACATTTTGAATGCTTAGCAGGACAGGAAATGGTCCAATTCACGCACTTATCAAGAGAACATCCCTGGTCATCCCTACTGCCTCTGATCTGGCGGACTCACTAAACACACGTTTCATTTGTAAATTATGTATGACTGTTGAAGTGTGCCCCTGGCTTCCCATAAATAAAAAAATGTATACAAAAATGGTGCTGTCTGGGTTGCTTAATAGAAGGAATTTGAAATGATTTATACTTTTACTTTTTCTTTTGATACTTAAGTGTATTTAAAACCAATTTTTTTTCGACTTTTACTCAAGCAGTATTTTGCTGGGTGACTTTCACTTATACTTGAGTCATTTTCAATTAAGGTATCTTTACTTTTACTCAAGTATAACAATTAGGTACTTTTTCTACCACTGCGCACACACACACACACACACACATATTTTGCTAGAGGACACCCTCCCAATCAGCTCATGTGAACGTGGTGCTGTGGCCCATGGAGGAAAACCTAACGCCTCTCTCTCTCAACACCTTGATCACACACACACCTCCTCAGGACAGAGGGATGATGAAATGAGGAAGCCGTGTGTGTGTATGTGTGTGTGTGTGTGCGTGTGTGTGCGTGTGTGTGTGCGTGTGTGTGTGTGTGTGTGTGATGTGTGTGTGTTACCCTGTGGACACTAATCCTATGAACTGAAATACTGAGAGATGTGAGCTGTACATAAATGAGTCTCAATCAGCATTATGTTCAAGGTTCCTAAGATCAACTGTCATCTGTCCTGTTTAAATTGCTATACAGCAGAGCAGAGGAACACAAACTAAAACATAGCTCTCTCTGCTCCTCTGTTCTGATCTAAGTACGTATTGCTAGCAGAGCACAGGTCAAAATATATCATTTATTCCTGCCATTACAGTCAGATGCAGTCTGGGATCTTAAGCACAACAAATTCATGTGAATTGCAAAAAAAAAAGAATATACAAAAAATGTAACACAACATGCAACAATTTCTAAGATTTTACATTTACATTACATTTAAGTCATTTAGCAGACGCTCTTATCCAGAGCGACTTACAAATTGGTGCATTCAACTTCACCCTTTGGTTTACTTTACTTCAACTGTCAGTCAACTTTGCATTCGTGTTTTATACTTCTGCTGACCCCAGATGGTAAACTTCTCACTAACAAACACTCACACACACACTTTCTCATACAAACTCTCAGTGCCCAGCCCGATAACATATCAATACCCAATCTGCAAAGACAACACTGAGTACAGTTACTGAGTTACAGTTCATTTAAGGAAATCAGTCAATTGAAATAAATTCATTAAGCCCTAATCTATGGATTTCACATGACTGGGAATACAGATATGCATCTGTTGGTCACAGATACACTTTAAAAAAAAAGTAGGGGTGTGGATCAGAAAACCAGTCAGTATCTGGTGTGACCAACATTTGCCTCTTGAAGTGCAAAACATCTCCTTCGCATAGAGTTGATCAGGCTGTTGATTGTGGCCTGTGGAATGCTGTCCCACTCCTCTTCAATGGCTGTGCGAAGTTGCTGGATATTGGCGGGAACTGGAACACGCTGTCGTACACGTCGATCCAGAGCATCCCAAACATGCTCAATGGGTGACATGTCTGGTGAGTATGCAGGAATCTAAAATTATGTTGGATGTGGCTTATGGTAGAGAAATTAACATTCTCTGGTAACAGCTCTGGTGGACATTCCTGCAGTCAGCATGCCAATCACTCCCTAAAAACGTGAGACATCTGTGGCATTGTGTTGTATACTGCACATTTTAGAGTGGCCTTTTATTGTCCCTAACACAAGGTGCACCTGTGTAATGATCATGCTGTTAAATCAGCTTCTTGATATGCCACACCTGTCAGGTGGATGGATTATCTTGGCAAAGGAGAAATGCTCACTAACATGGATGTAAACAAATTTGTGCACAACATTTTAGAGGAATGTGGTTTTTGTGCATATGAAAAATTTCTGGGATCTTTTATTTCAGCTCATGAAACATTGACCAACACTTTACATGTTGTGTTTACATTTTTGCAGAACGTAACATATCAGACAAATTGGATGACGTAGTACAAAAAAAGCGGGGTTAAAGTTCCAGAGCATCACTTTAAGACAGTCCAGACTATAAATTCCAGAGCATCACTTTAAGACAGTCTAGACTATAAATTCCAGAGCATCACTTTAAGACAGTCCAGACTATAAGTTCCAGAGCATCACTTTAAGACAACCCAGACTATAAGTTCCAGAGCATCACTTTAAGACAGCCCAGACTATAAATTCCAGAGCATCACTTTAAGACAACCCAGACTACAAGTTCCAGAGCATCACTTTAAGACAGTCCAGACTATAAATTCCAGAGCATCACTTTAAGACAACCCAGACTACAAGTTCCAGAGCATCACTTTAAGACAGTCCAGACTATAAATTCCAGAGCATCACTTTAAGACAACCCAGACTATAAGTTCCAGAGCATCACTTTAAGACAACCCAGACTACAAGTTCCAGAGCATCACTTTAAGACAGCCCAGACTATAAGTTCCAGAGCATCACTTTAAGACAGTCCAGACTACAAGTTCCAGAGCATCACTTTAAGACAGTCCAGACTATAAATTCCAGAGCATCACTTTAAGACAACCCCAGACTATAAGTTCCAGAGCATCACTTTAAGACAACCCAGACTACAAGTTCCAGAGCATCACTTTAAGACAGCACAGACTATAAGTTTCAGAGCATCACTTTAAGACAGTCCAGACTATAACTCACATTTCTTTATCATCCCTGAGGATCACAGTGCGTTACACAAGATGTACCATCTACAGTACTGTGTGTGTATGTATGTATGTGTGTGTGTTTGTGTGTGTGTCAGGCAGTTTGATGAGTTCATGTTGCGCGTCCAATTCAAAATGCATATTCTGTGCCTCAGAACACATTCCATCTCAGCAGGCAGACCAGGCAGGTGCTATGTTCTATAATATCATATGAGACACATTGAATAAAACAATGTTGAAGGATTTCAATGGTCTGGAGCAACAGCCTCTGATAGTGTTGGAACAGGCCTGCAACAGCCTCTGATAGTGTTGGAACAGCCCTGCAACAGGAACTGATAGTGTTGGAACAGGCCTGCAACAGCCTCTGATAGTGTTGGAACAGGCCTGCAACAGCCTCTGATAGTGTTGGAACAGGCCTGCAACAGCCTCTGATAGTGTTGGAACAGGCCTGCAACAGCCTCTGATAGTGTTGGAACAGGCCTGCAACAGCCTCTGATAGTGTTGGAACAGGCCTGCAACAGCCTCTGATAGTGTTGGAACAGGCCTGCAACAGCCTCTGATAGTGTTGGAACAGGCCTGCAACAGCCTCTGATAGTGTTGGAACAGGCCTGCAACAGCCTCTGATAGTGTTGGAACAGGCCTGCAACAGCCTTGATAGTGTTGGAACAGGCCTGCAACAGCCTCTGATAGTGTTGGAACAGGGCCTGCCAACAGCCTCTGATAGTGTTGAAACAGGCTGCAACAGCCTCTGATAGTGTTGGAACAGGCCTGCAACAGCCTCTGATAGTGTTGGAACAGGCCTGCAACAGCCTCTGATAGTGTTGGAACAGGCCTGCAACAGTCTCTGATAGTGTTGGAACAGCCTCTGATAGTGTTGGAACAGTCTCTGATAGTGTTGGAACAGTCTCTGATAGTGTTGGAACAGCCTTGATAGTGTTGGAACAGCTCTGATAGTGTTGGAACAGCCTCTGATAGTGTTGGAACAGTCTCTGATAGTGTTGGAACAGCCTCTGATAGTGTTGGAACAGTCTTGATAGTGTGGAACAGCCTCTGATAGTGTTGGAACAGTCTCTGATAGTGTTGGAACAGTCTCTGATAGGTTGGTTTATGGAGCAGCCTATGATAGTGTTGGAACAGCCTCTGATAGTGTTGGAAACAGTCTCTGATAGTGTTGGAACAGTCTCTGATAGTGTTGGAACAGTCTCTGATAGTGTTGGAACAGCCTCTGATAGTGTTGGAACAGTCTCTGATAGTGTTGGAACAGTCTCTGATAGTGTTGGAACAGCCTCTGATAGTGTTGGAACAGCCTCTGATAGTGTTGGAACAGCCTCTGATAGTGTTGGAACAGTCTCTGATAGTGTTGGAACAGCCTCTGATAGTGTTGGAACAGTCTCTGATAGTGTTGGAACAGCCTCTGATAGTGTTGGAACAGCCTCTGATAGTGTTGGAACAGCCTCTGATAGTGTTGGAACAGTCTCTGATAGTGTTGGAACAGCCTCTGATAGTGTTGGAACAGTCTCTGATAGTGTTGGGAACAGTCCTCTGATAGTGTTGGAACAGTCCTCTGATAGTGTTGGAAACAGCCTCTGATAGTGTTGGAACAGCCTCTGATAGTGTTGGAACAGTCTCTGATAGTGTTGGAACAGTCTCTGATAGTGTTGGAACAGTCTCTGATAGTGTTGGAACAGCCTCTGATAGTGTTGGAACAGCCTCTGATAGTGTTGGAACAGCCTCTGATAGTGTTGGAACAGTCTCTGATAGTGTTGGAACAGTCTCTGATAGTGTTGGAACAGTCTCTGATAGTGTTGGAACAGCCTCTGATAGTGTTGGAACAGGCCTGACTTTCCACTTCTCTGCTTCTACTAACTATAAAAACAATGACAGCAGAGAGACTGTTTGTTTTCTAATCCACACCACAAAGGAAGAGTGAAACACAGCTGGTTTCTCCTCTCCTCCGCTTCTAGGCTTCTATGTTTCCACCACACACACACACACACACACACACACACACACACACACACACACACACACACACACACACACACACACACACACACACACACACACACACACACACACACACACACACACACACACACCTCTGTGACAGACTATACATTATTAATCCAACATGTAGTATGGATCCTGGCCTTCTATCAATCTAATTATACTATAGCAGTGCCACAAGTCATTATTATTTAAAGGGGCTTCAGTTTAAATGAGATTGGTAAAACAAACACACAGCGGACATGGATGATTTTCTACATGGTTCATACAGAATCCTAGCAGTGGGGGAAAAGAACACCCTCCATTCCAGCCCTAGGGACAAGCAATAAGAACAGTGAGAAAATCAGTCCCAAATGGCACCCTATTCTCTTTATGGGTCCATATGGTTCTGGTCAAAAGTAGTGCACTATATAGGGAATAGGGTGCCATTTGGTAGACATCCTCAGTTAGACAGATGGTACAACACAGAGCCATTCACTGGGGACAACCGGGCTCCGTACAGTCCCTCACAACCCAACCCAGTCCTGTCATAGCACAATACAGACATTAAAGGTCTGGGGCTCCCCCTGGACTGGTTGGTACCGCGAACAGGACGACAAGACAGAGAAAGAGGGAGGAGAGAGAGAGAAAGAGTGAGAGAGAGGGAGAGAGTCTGTGATGGATAACTAGGTCCCCCATTTCTTTCTCTCTCTCTCTGAGAAGGATGAGGCAGCAACACAAACCAGACTAAATGACGGCCTGTGGTTTTGCTCCCATTGATACTGTCTGATGTAGAGGTGACTTCAAGGACATATTGTGAGTGCTGCAGTTGTTAACCTGAAGCCCAATACCCAGGTGTAAAATCACACATGACATAATATGGTAAACAAAGCTGGGGAATGAGGTTGACAGAATGACACTAATGCAGTGGTGTAGCCAGAGATGTGTTGATGGGTGGGCCTGCAGATGGGTGGGCCCCCCCGGGTAAAGCAGATAACTTCCTACAAGTCTACACATTTTGCCATGGGGCAAAGAGAACAATCTGCAGTTTTATAGCTAATCTCACGCTATTCTACACACTTTGCCATGATGCATAGAGAAAATGTTGCTGTTTTAAAGCTAATTTCCTGCAATTCTACACATTGTGCCATGGGGCAGAGAGGAAAATGTGCAGTTTTAAAGCTAATTAAAGCAAGAATATAGGTGTGTTGACAGTGATAAAGGCATTGGATTATCAGCTGTCTTGTTTGCTAAAGGAAACCCAGGCCTACATTTGCTTACGCCTCTGCACTAGTGGGAATAAAACCCTCCAGGGGTTGACCGGGTGAATTCATAACTTGTGTGTTATTTTTGTTATCATGTATAGCAGGGGTCTCCAACCCTGTTCCTGGAGAGCTACCGTCCTGTAGGTTTTAACTCCAACCCTGTTCCTGGAGAGCTACCGTCCTGTAGGTTTTCGCTCCAACCCTAATCTAGCGCACCTGATTCTTAATAATTATCTGGTTGATAAGATTAATCAGTTTAGTTACAATTGGGTTTGGAGTGAAAACCTACAGGAGGTTAGCTCTACAGGAACAGGGTTGGAGTTAAAACCTACAGGAGGTTAGCTCTACAGGAACAGGGTTGGAGTTAAAACCTACAGGAGGTTAGCTCTACAGGAACAGGGTTGGAGTTAAAACCTACAGGAGGTTAGCTCTACAGGAACAGGGTTGGAGTTAAAACCTACAGGAGGTTAGCTCTACAGGAACAGGGTTGGAGTTAAAACCTACAGATGTAAATGTAAAACCTACAGGAGGTTAGCTCTACAGGAACAGGGTTGGAGTTAAAACCTACAGGAGGTTAGCTATACAGGAACAGGGTTGGAGAGCCCAGAAGTATAGTGTGTGTGTGTGTGTGTGTGTGTGTGTGTGTGTGTGTGTGTGTGTGTGTGTGTGTGTGTGTGTGTGTGTGTGTGTGTGGTGTGTGTTTGTGTGCATGCATAAAGCCAGAGTTGGTATAACACACCATTGGTACACACTTTCACGTTGTTGTGAATTTATACACTGAACAAAAATATAAATGCAACACACCATTGTTCCCATGTTTCATGAGCTGAAATAAAAAATCCCATACATTTTCCATATGCACAAAAACCTAATTTCTTTCAAATTTTGTGCACAAATTTGTTTACATCCCTGTCAGTGAGCATTTCTCTTTTGCCAATATAATCCATCCACCTGACAGGTGTGGTATAGCAAGAAGCTGATTAAACAGCATGATCATTACACAGGTGCACCTTGTGCTGGGGACAATAAAAGGTAACTTTAAAATGTGCACCTTGTGCTGGGGACAATAAAAGGTCACTTTAAAATGTGCAGTTTTGTCACACAATACAATGCCACAGATGTCTCAAGTTTTGAGGGAGTGTGTAATTAGCATGCTAACTGCAGGAATGTCCACCAGAGCTGTTGCCAGATAACTGAATGTTCATTTCTCTACCATAAGCCCTGTGTAGCTCAGTTGGTAGAGCATGGCGCTTGCAACGCCAGGGTTGTGGGTTCGATTCCCAAGGGGGGCCAGTATAAAAATAAATAATGTATGCACTCACTAACTGTAAGTCGCTCTGGATAAGAGCGCCTGCTAAAATGACTAAAAAAATAAGCTGCTTAGAGAATTTGGCAGTACATCCAACCAGCCTCACAACCGCAGACCACGTGCAACCATGCCAGCCCAGGCCCTCCATCTCCGGCTTCTTCACCTGCGGGATCAGCTGAGGGGGGTGATGAGGAGTATTTCTGTCTGTAATAAAGCCCTTTTGTGGGGAAAAACTCATTCTGATTGGCTGGGCCTGGCTCCCCAGTGGGTGTGCGTATGCCCTCCCAGGACCACCCATGGCTGCACCCCTGCCCAGTCATGTGAAATCCAATGATTAAGGACTAATGAGTTTATTTAAATTGACTGATTTCCTTATATGAACTGTAACTCTGTAAAATCTTTGAAATTGTTGCATGTTGCATATATATCTTTTGTTCAGTAAATTAATTCACAGGGTAAATGATCTGTAGTTTAGCAGGCAGAAACAGTGAGTTAGTGGTGTGCCTCTTATCTGAAGAGCCTGCTGTGTCTGCCAAACACACTGACTGCGTCCCAAATGGCAGCATATTCCCTACATAGTGAACTACTTTTGACCAGGGCCCACAGGGCAAAGGTTGTGCACTATGTAGGAAATAGGGTGGCATTTGGGACAAATCCACTATCAACCAGTCATTACTTAGGGTAATTGCTTTGCAGCACGTCTAATCCAAACACACATGTAATCCAAACATCATGTGTTTCAATCAGGTAATGCAGCAGGAATACAAGACTTTAGCAACGTGCACCACAAGATTAAAACAGGAATAACACACACCCACACCTCAATTGGATAGGCCAACAGGTATTTTAACTCACGGCAGGTAGTGTGACTCAGTGATTTGTTAGGGATCCGTTGGATATGAAATGTCATCAGTAACAGAAATCCCATAGATTTTTGCATTAGCATTTAATTTGGAGAGGGAGGGAGGGAGAGAGAGAGAGGGATTTAACCTTTTTTCATTTCCTCAGCCATACATCACAGGACATGTCTTAAAACAAAGCTATCTATCTCAGTAATTATTATTTACCAGTGTCCATTTGAAATCAAGTCAATATGTGTGTTACCCTGGTAGGAACAATAAACCAGGCTTCCAATCAATAGCCCCCAACATCAGCTCTACTGGTCGCTAGCTGCAGGCTATAATATTGATCTAAAGGGTCAGGCTCCGGTTATTAGGCTGAGGACAAAAATGTAATTGTTCAATTTAGATCAGACAGCTTCCAGGAATATCAGCGGTTTATGATAATGAAACCTCCTAACAAATCGTATTACGCAATGCATGGCAGTTCTACCACACGTGTTTCCTGTCTCTCACTGACGTTCTCCTCCTTCCCTGTCCCACAACATCTTCAATTATATACATGCACACAAACATGAATTATCGAAGAGTGGAGACGACAGACTAACATAGCTACTTTGTGTTGTATAACACTTAATGCGTCTAAAAGTTGTCTGAGATCAGGGGGAAAGGACAGCTGATTTTCAGATATATGGTTACACCACCACCTAGTGGTATTTACATGTATTACATCCATGTATTCGTTTGACGCAGGCAGTGTAGGTACTGTGTGGACCGTAATTGAAAAGCAGTGGCCAATAGGTTCCCACATGGCTTAGTTGGTAGAGCATGGGTTGTGGGTTTGATTCCCCCGGGAGACCCGTACGAAAACGTATGCACTCACTACTGTAAGCAACTAGATAAGAGCATCTGCTAAATGACTAAATTTTAAAAAAAAACAATGGATAGCACACTAGTCTAGTAGAAAGGACACACAGATATCAGTCAAATACATAAACCATTAATATATTGATGACGAATACTTAAAAGAAAAGCATTAAAAACTAAAGTATAACCCCAGAAGTCTCATGATTTTTAGGTGGAACTGTCACAACATTTTTTAGCTTTTCCATTGTCATTTTTAACCATTTTTGTTTTATTAAGGACATACAGTGCCTTCAGAAAGTATTCACACCCCTTGACATTTTCCAAATGTTCTTGTGTTACAGCCTGAATCTAAAATTGATTACATTGAGATTGTTTTGTCACTGGCCTACACACATTACCCATAATGTCAAAGTGAAATTATGTTTTGGGAAATGTGACCAAAATAATTACAAATTAAAAGCTGAAATGTATTGAGTCAATAAGTATTCAAACCCTCAATAAGTATTCAATAAGTATTCAAGCCTAAATAAGTTCAGGATAAAAATGTTGCTTAACAAGTCACATAATAAGTT